AGAATTTTACGCAAATGTTGCTGTTAATACATGACCTAGAGCTCTGTGTTTTCTTTGCAGAACCTTATGTCATTTATTCACGTAAAAATCTGGAATAATTTCCAGTAGAGTCAAAGGAGTTACTACAGAATTAGGTGGGTTTAAACAAAAGCTGTTTGGAAACTAGTTTATAACTTACTGGGTAAGTAAAGGGCAAAATTCTTTTCAGATGCTGATCTCTGAACACATTATAATATAACCATTTACCTATCCTTAGTTAATTTTTTTTTTTTTAATAATTCAAAACCTTTTTTAAGTGACAGAACGATAAATATACAATGATAGAAAATAAAGTGAGTGCTTGAACAATTGATTGAACTGAGGTTAGAAATCTTCACTGCATTTTTAAACCCTTAAATCAATATTGTGCAATTTTTACCTAACTTTTAGAAAAATCTTATCAAATAATATAATGAGATTAATCCATAAGCAGCAAGAGCATCAGTTTTGATGTAAATAGGAATTAATTAATTTGATTCTACACCTAAACATTGTTGCTTTATACAGTTATTTTAACAGCATCTGTATTTAGGTGATAATTAAATAAGATTTAATAAAGTCTTCCAATATCTGGGAGGAAGTCTATTTTGCTCTATTAATGTCTGTTCCTGCAGTCCTCTCAAATGACATCAACTGCAATATTTCTATATGTGGCAGATTTCAAATTCCAAAGTTCAGTAGGCCTAGGATAAGAAAGCTGCAAATGGCATATAGCACATGGGTCCTGATGACTTGCAATTTAGTGCATGACAGATCAACTTTATATGTGCTGTCCAATGTGTGTGAGGGAGGATTTAAGCAATCCTATGTGAAATATAGAACCACACGAAAGTAGGATGAGAAAATTTGGGTTTTTTGTTTTGTTTTGTTTTGTTTTTTTCTTTGCCGAGAGGAGAATATTCTGCATCCATTTTAGAACCAGATTTATCATTTCAACCTGTTCAATAACATTTTAGGAAAACAGCTTTGCAAAGCAGGAGCCCCTGAAAAGCAGGTTAAAAGCTGTAAGCGTTAGGATCAGCCAGTGCTTCTATAGGACTAGACTTCTTTTTGGTTAATACGTTAAACCATTGACTTACAAATGATGCAACATTTAGAGTAAGTCAGTTTTTGTTGCTCTGAATGGATGAAAGGTGGTTTATGGCCTTTATTACAAACTTTGTTTTCTCCACTCACGCAAACATAACCCTGTTTTTCCTGCACAGTACATGCTGCTGGCATAAACCACAGGAGCTCTGCTCTGCTTTCACCCCTCTTCTGCTACGCTTTGGAGATTAATCTGCAACAGGAGATGCATAAATCAGGCATGAACTGCTAAAGCTAAGCTTAAAATTAGCAATTCATGGACAGAAAAGTTTCCTAAACTGTGCAAATGAAATGCAAGTGTTTTGCATTCTCTCTCTAAAAAAAACCAAAAACCAAACCAAACCAAAACAAAAAAAAAAGGTTCCACTCCTGCAGCGACTGAAATAGTTGTAAAGGCAGATTGTGTTCTCTTGAATTTGCACTGAAAACCACATGGCCAGCCCAAAAATGACACTAACCAATGATAACAAAAGAATAAAAATAACAAAACAAATATCCTGTCACCCTGACCAGGGCACTTTATAAAGGTCAGGGGGACAAACTCCTATGCCCTATTTCTTCAGTAAAAGGGTAGCACTAAAAGATCTAGTGCTCCTCTGTTTTAAAGCAATCTTCAATCTGAGATCCTCCATTTTTAACTTTTCCCTGCAAGGTGGTTATTACCAAACAAGGCAACCAAATAACCTGCCCAAAGCTCTGCATGAGATCTAAGGCAAGACTATGGAGAGATTCCTGTTGCCCGGCCATAACTGCACTGGGTGTTTTTCTTTATGGTTTTGCTTATCTCCACTTGTGTAGCCAATTTCTTCACCCTGATTATCTCATTCTGTGTCCTGGACTTGTCTGCCCAGGTGAGACTGCATCACCTTTCAAAACCACTAGGTTTTCTTTTTCTTAAAAAATAAGCTAGTGAGCCCAGGGTGAATGAATTGCCATAGTACCATGTTAAAAAGGGATGCCAGAGCACATCAGCCCAGACCTGCTATGTGTAGGTTCAGCAGCAAGGTGCAAAGCAGACAGTCAACTTGAAGTCAAAGAGAAGGATTTTCTTTTGGTTAAACTTTTTTTTTAAAGGTGTCTAAAATTCTTCCAATATCCACAGAAAAAGGATTTAGAGCAACTCTCCATTGACTTCAGTGCAGTGACCAGGTGCAGCTGAAGGCAGATCTCAGTGTTTCAGGCTTCAGCCCAAGCTATGGGTGCTTGCAAGGGGACCCCTTAGTCCAGTGGTTTCCATCCTTTTTAGATTTGGTCCTTCCACTGAATCAGCAAATTCCCATAGTGTGAATTTAAACCTAATGACAAGAAGTTTTGTTTTGAGACCCACGGTTGTGGACCATGGACCATCACTGACTGCAGATCAGAGCTCGTAAACCACTGTACTAATGGCATCCCAAATTGTGACAGTTGGTTTGGTTCAGTAAAACAAACAGTATAGATAGACAGGAGGATAAAAACTAAAATAGTTGCAACTAAAGCCCCTTGGGTGCCTCAGAAGACTCTGACAATAGTCATTTCGCAGAACGAACGATAAATCAGGTAAAACAGACCCACCATGCAGGTGAGCTAGGAAACAGACACAGTATCTATTTTCTGTTGTAACAGTACCACACAGCAGTAATGTTGTCCTCTTGGTGAAGTTACAAAATAATCACATTTTTACAAATGAAAAGGATTGTAAGGATGGAAAGAGAAAGCCTTCACAAGATCCATCTGTCCTCCAGTCCTTTGCCAGATGAACCTGATTTTTCCATAGGTAGATCAAGGCTGGTTGTTGATTCTCAAGAAAGCAACAAATTCCCTCCTCGGTCAAGTGCATTATGCCAAATGTATCCCTGAGGCAGTTCAGCTCAGAACAATCCTCTTGCTCCACGGATGAGCCTGCTCTTTGCTCCACTGGCCTGGAGCAGCTCTCCCTCTGTTTCTCCCTGGAGGTGACTCAGGGATCTATTTTCTTCCCTATTACCAAGTTCAAGCAATTGCACATCACGGGTCAAAAACTATTTCAAAACATTTCTGAAGCTTCCAGGCAAACTCCAATTATATTTCTTCAACCAAGCTCATGAATTATTTTTTTTATTTATTTATTTAGGACTGTGGCAACAACAGCACATGAGTAATTCAGGGCTGAACATACACATTTGCAACCCCAAGAGCTGAACAATGCTCTTACCACTGTTCTACAGCCTTTGTTTGCTTTTATATCTTCTGCCTTGGTACAAGGGAACTTCACGAAGATATGCCACCCTAACAGTGATTTGTTTGTGTTCCTCTACATCCTGCATACAACTTATTTTTCTCTCTTTAGGGCACAGCAAGGACAAAGCATTCAAGTACTCCAAGGTTTATCCTGCTGAAACAAGTATGGTGTTGCTACACTAATACCGTTCTCCCTGTAATGCTTTTGAATGATTTGATGGTACTCTGGGAAAGGACTGCAAGGAAAGCAAGCATGAAAAACAAGACAAGCAAGTACATAGATCAGGATATGAATCCGAATAGCCTGTTGTGTCTGAATACTCTTAATGTAGTAAGAGGACATAAGTGTCTACAGAGCACTGGCCCAAAGATCCCTCCAGACCAGGATCCTGTCTCAGACAGGGCCAATGGAAAATGATGAAAAAAATACAGGTGGAACACCATTTTTTCCTGAATATCTCTCTAGACTCCAGTCATTTGCTGCTCAGCAGCTTCTTGAGTCAGAATGCCTTCATATTTGATGGCTCTTAGTGAATGCTGATAATAATTATCCCCTGTCAAAAGCACACTTGAACCTGTTATTATCACAAGACAATGTAAAAACACTGAAGATGAGGAAAGAAGGTTCTACAAGTGTTGGAAAACCTCTGGCATTTTTGTTGGCCATGTCTCTACTAACCACATCTGGGATAGCTCTCTCACACCAAGGTTTGCTGGCATGGAGTGGCCTGTGCCTAGCCTAGTCCTCTCTCTTACCCTCCAAAGCAATAAACTCTCTATTATCTGTTATAGATGGTCCCTTGGCTGTAATATCTCCAGAACCATTGCTGGGAACTGTTTGAAAGAGCCAGTGCTGGCTGGCCCATACTCAGCCAGCCAAGCACGCTTCTAAGATGTATGAAAAACCGATTTCCTATGCCAGGAAATGTTCCTTATGCAGATGTAGCCATTGACTTAAACTCGGTTGGGATGGGCTTATAGCAAGCACGTCTAACACGCTGCTTGTGGAAATCCCTTTGGTAAGAAAGTAACTTTAGGCAGTCACATCCAAAAGGTTTTAAGAAAGAAACGTGTTGTTGGATGGGTGTAAAATCAGTTCCTATCAACTGACCAATTCAGGTGAAACATGCAGAAGGAAAAGGAATAGACTCTATGACTACGTGGTATGTAATACCTGAACAGTCCTGGATAATGGATGCACTAGTATTGCTGAGGATATACTGCTGTCAGTTCTGATTTCTCAGTATTCCAGACGGTCTTCAGTGGTATTTCAGAAACGATCACAATATGCCTGCAGCTTTATTTACTGACCCCTGCTTTTGCTCAGCAGTATGTATGTTCTGCCATGCTGACACACATTTTCAAGTATTCGAACAGGAATAGAAACATTTTTCTTGCTCTATTGGTGGTGCAACATACCCTTAATTTGTTCCTCCTTTTTCATATAATGCATTTATGAGCATTATATGACGAAGTTGATTTGCTAGGTTTGGAAATCAACAGATGGTGATGGGTATAGAGCTGAGCTGCAGTATACCCATGCACATCTTGAGAGACATACAGGTACGTGTACACCAAAAATCAACATGGATAAGATGGCAAATATATCTGATCCTCAATGAGGTGGTTTTAGAGTAATGCACTGACATACTTACAGAGCTGGTCAAGGATCATACCTTCAATGGTAATAGCCTGGTCTCCTCTCCTCTGCTGGGTCAGGGCTGCAGCACTGTGATGGTAGAGTTCTGCTCCACTTTTTGCAGACCCTAATCTGTTCATCAGCTAAAGAGAATCATGCAGTACCGAATGAAACACAAGGTATCTTTTTAGAATAAAACCTTCCTATACTACGTTACAAATTCATTGCAATCACATGACAACAGCAATGGATGAAGGTGTGGCCCCAAACCAAAGCTAGAGTTTGAACCAACACGCTGCTGCTTGGTGGAGTTAATGATAATGCTTTACCACAAATGACTTGCACAAACAAGTAACAGCACAACAGTTAACTTAGAGTTATTTGCAGTTTGCTCTGCAGCCTGTGACTTGGTCCTCAGGTAGCTCTGCCTACCAACAGGCACAGACTCCTTCTCTATGACATGTAGGTGGCAATTAAAGAGCAGGGTTTTTTTGTTTATCATCCGTTAATCAACTGAGTCTTACTCAGCCAAAGGAATACTGAACCTTGGGATCTTAGCTAATGGCCAATGCAAGGTAATCTGATTTTGCTAAAATTCTAGTAGAAGTATTTAAATTATATCAAACTTCATAAATACTTCTGTGGGATAACAGTGAAATTGCTGTGGACTGAGCCATTTACCATGGGTCAGCTGGCCCATGATAATTTTCTAAACCAAGATCAACTGTTTTTATTGCCAAGCCCTGATTGCCTATTACTATTTTATCACAATGACTGTATAGACTATGACTAATTTTTAGAAAATATTTTACAGTATATTTATTTTAATTTATTAGATACTTCCAAGTATGCTTGCTAAATAAACAGGGATTTAAGTGGTTCACACTTCTATTTAGACAATTTATTTCTTTTGGCTTTTGTAGCGGCATGAATCTGTTCTAATTTAAAGACAGTCCAGAAACAAAACATCATGTCAGAACACTCCTAAACTTTTTAAGTGGTACCTCTAGAGATTTGGATCTGAATTTAAGCTACAGAACAAGCTCACTCAATTATTATTTGAACCATCAAATGCTCAGATCAGAATATTCTGAAGATTTTGGATGTTCACAATCCAGATACAGTTCAGGAGAACTTCACTTTGTATAAACTTTTTTTATATGACAGGAGGTAGCAATTATTCAGCCACTAACTCATGCAATGAATCTCTCCCAGTAAAATGAATTCTCCTACTTATGTCATATCAGATGTCAGATTTTTAACGATGTCTGAATTTACCTCACATTCATAGTGTCCCATATCTTCATTGGAAGGGTTCTTGACCACCAGGACTATTATGCCACTCCGTGGTTCACTGAAAGTCTGGTATTTACTTGTGTCCTTCAACAATACACCATCCTTGTACCATCTGCATGTGGAAACACTGAGTATAAGCCAGGAAAAAAACATGCAGTGTCAAGAAGTTCCCAGCTCACTGATCCATCTATCAGACCAGTGGACAAACAACTCGGGAGTTAATCATTAGACAAACATTTGGATCCTGAGAGATAAGTCTACAGGTAGGTAGATCACACATGGATATTAAAACTGCACAGGTTTATGAGATTATTCTCAAGAAATCTCATCAGTCAGTGCAGGGAAAAGAGAAGATATGGCGAGTTTTGAGATCTTCATGAGATACCTTCATGAGAAGATATGGTGAGTTTTTTGTCTGAATACCCTGGACTGGTTGCTGATAAAGTCCATGTGTAAAGTAGGGAGGATAAAGAAATGATAAAAAGTTGTCAGGGATTATCTGTAGGTATTTCTTTTCACATCTAGCTAGAAAAATTGATGAGAATCTCAGAAATGTTGGGATTGGGAAGAGCCAGCATTAGATTGGGGTTAAAGTGAAGACACAGAAGAAAGTTTCATAACCTTGACAGAAAGGGCAGGAGACTCTTCTGACCATGAAAAATGGGAAAATGGGAATTCTTCCAGTGTGACTTGAAGAACTGACCTGATTTGAGGCTTAGGTGCTCCTTCAATAGTGCAGGTAAACTGAGCATCTTCACCCTCAACAAAATAAGCATTTCTAACCTTGTTCACAAACCGTGGTGGCACTGCAAGGCAAAGATAAAAGTCACTAGTACCAGAAAACATGACCAGATATGAAGGATGTGTTCCTGACCAGATCATTCTCATGATATCTACACACGACACTAAAGACAAAGTTTTCTGACCTAAGAACAATTGACTGTACCTGTACATCAAAGAATTTTTTTAAAAGTATTATCCAGTAGATGTTATACAGAAATACTGGAATGTCTTAATGTTCATGTTTAAGTATTACGTAGCAGACCGCTTTAAAACAATGCATCTGTGCAGAACTTTACCTTGAACAAGGATCTTTCCTAAGGTACTGGCATTTCCAGCAGGACTGGAAGCAAAGCACATGTACTGTCCTGAGTCAACGCCTGTTAGGTTGTCCAAGATCAGTGTGCAGGAACCATCAGGGTCTTCTATTATAATGTGATGGGGATCCAGCTCCACAGGCTTTCCATCTTAATGACAAAGGGAGAAAAAAAAAATAGCTTAGTATCAATTATGTTTTCTCCTTGGGAACTTCATCCAGCTTTTCAGCTTGAGAGGACTGAGCTGTATTTGCTTTATTGCAGTTGGTGTTGGCAGTTGAGGAATGGGCTCTTCATCTTAGTCCAGGTCTCTACAAAACATCTTCTGGGCAAAGCACTGTTGAGGGACCGTGTACATCATCAATCCTCATTTAAAAGTGGAATTCTACCAGAGTATAAGCTGCGCAGTTAGAGCTCAGATTTGCTAGCCAAAAGAACACCTCCAAAGTGACTGTAAACGTGCAGAACAGATCTTTACGAGGCATTGAACGTACAGCAACGCTGTTTGCTCTGCAATACAGTAATGCTGGGGAAAAGAGTATGTGCACACAGCTGCCTGTGCGATGACATGGAAACGTCTGAGCCACTTCAAACAAGTTGTTCATCTACTAGAAGTTGTCTAACTGCCACAAGGTGTGGCTTCATACAGGCAAACTTGAAAAGAGTTTATTAGATCCTAGGAAGATCTACGTTACTTGAGTTGCTCAGTAGCTAACTTTAAGGCTAGGCTTGGGTATCTCTAGGTGGTCAGATTTTAGATGAGCCACTAATCAGTTAGTACAAAGCAATATAGACAGAGAACAAATCTGGGGGATGCATTTCATGACTTGCTGCTCATACCTTTGTACCAGCTGACAGATGGCTTGGGAGTTCCTGTAACTTTGCAAGCCAGCTTGACTGTCTCTCCCAACTCAGCCATACAGTCCGCCAGTTCTTCCTCAAAGTCTGGAGGGACTGAAATATCAAAATAAGCATGTTATTTTGGAGAATGTGGTCTCTGTCCATAGGATGGCTGCTGCAAAGTAAGATAAGAATAGGTGCGGTTTCTGCGCTTATCTGAGACTAAATTCAGTCTGTCAAACATCTGTTGTTGGCTATAAAGATGGGGCATAAAAAAAATGGGATTTGTCACTGATCTGGAAGTATTTGAGGCCACGATTTTAGTAAGCACATCCATTATTCAGACATCACACAGCTGTCACAGTTAAGGTAATTCCCCAAAATCCACCCTTGATACCCAAACTAGTATTCTGTTGGTCTCATACAATAAAATCTATGCTTTGCTGAGGGACTTTAACTTATTACTACCACATGAAACAGTGCAAAATTATTCTGATAGTCTTCCTCACCTCACTAAAAGCACAAAAATAAAATGCTCAGACTTGTTTTCAGTGTATATACACTGAACTCAATTCTTTGAATTTTAAGATGCCAACTTTCTTTATGCTGTAAAGGACATCTTTTGCAGCTTATACCTGGACAATCCTGGCATCCTGGCTTGTATCAGGATTAGTGTGGCCAGCAGGGACAGGGAAGGGATCTTGCCCCTGTACTTGGCGCTGGTGAGGCCGCACCTTGAATACTGTGTTCAGTTTTGGGCCCCTCACCCCAAAAAGGACATAGAGTTACTCGAGCATGTCCAGAGAAGGGCAACGGAGCTGGTCAAGGCTCTGGAACACATGTCCTATGAGGAGCGGCTGAGGGAACTGGGATTGTTTAGTCTGGAGAAGAGGAGGCTGAGGGGAGATCTCATCGCCCTCTACAACTACCTGAAAAGAAGCTGCAGAGAGCTGGGTTTGAGCCTCTTTTGCCTAGCAGAAAGTGACAGGACAAGAGGGAATGGCCTCAAGTTGCGCCAGGGAAAGTTCAGACTAGATATTAGGAAGCATTTCTTTCCAGAAGGGGTTGTTAGGTGTTGGAATGGGCTGCCCAGGGAGGTGGTGGAGTCCCCATCCCTGGAGGTGTTCAAGAGCAGGGTCGATTTAGAGCTTAAGGATATGCTGTAGGTGGGAACTGTGCTAGGAGAACGGTTGGACTAGATGATCTCCAGGGTCCTTTCCAACCTAGATGATTCTGTGATTCTGTGAATAAAGATTTAATATCCCTGTTGATAAATTTTGTGGATAGAAAATTGGTGGAATCTCAAATGGCAGTGATGATGAAGCAGTCTGAATGGCAATGTAAAAATTCAATGCAAACCCATATGCCCAGATACAACAATGTGAGCCAGAAGCCTGGAGTGGAGGGTTTGGTACCCAACAAAGTCACAGGAGGGCTTTATGCTGGTATCAGTGGGACTCTGGGTCAGGTCCTGAGATTACTTTTCCCACTGGAGTATAATGCTCTTCACGCAGTGGACCAGAGTCTTTGCCATCAAATTCTGTGGTCATCTACCCTTCTGCAATCCCTGCCAGGTCAAATGCACCTCTAGTGCCAACTCTGCAATTTGTGTTTTAGAAGTTTCAATATCATGTTTCTCTTCTCTGGTGATGCATATTTTCTGGGCTATTTGGCTGGAAAAGAGCATCCTCTGCTTACTGACAAAAATGTATGAATGTGACGACTGGGAACTGAGCAATCACTTGAGTCTTTGATTCTGATCTTCCACCAAAGACAGCCCACGTCAGTTGAAAGGACCAGGGACAGCCAGCTCTTTTCAGCTCATCAGCCTGTGTTTTCCACACTTGGGTTACAGACATTGAAGAGTAATTAGAAAGGTACTCATCTGCTCTGCTATTGCCTAAAAACCTCTACAGTCCTGTAGGACCTCTGTCATGTAAATTTAATTACTTCAGTGATATACAGTCTTGGCTCCCTTGATGGTAAATAGAGAAAGTCAAACGTCATTGTCCCATCCTGATAAAGGTGCCTTCCCCAGCTCAGGTGGAGGACCTGCCACTGTTATAATCATTCCAGTTAAATCTTACTGTGTGCTGTTAAATTGCATGAGTTGTTATTTGCCACAGTCTGTGATGTGATGAAAGGAAAACCTCTAAAGCTAGTTCAGATTAAGAGGTGTCATTACCCTAGACAGCTTCTCTCCCTCTTTTGTTAATCTCTTCCCTGAATCAGGGAGACCACCCAAGAGAAAACAAGGAGGTTTGGGCCATACTCACTCCAGACAGGCTCGCTGATCCGCTGCTGTATGCCACAGATCTCCTTCACCCAGGAGTTCTTGATAATCACTGTCCGTGCCTGAAGGAGGTACTTGCGGACCAAGTCTTCCCGTTCATGCCAGATCTCAAATGCCCGGTCATCTCCTTCCACAAGGTCATTCACATCTATGTTGTTCAGCTGTGTGACAGAAGGAGGACAAGAAAGTCAACACACATCCTGTGTTCTTAGGACTGAATTTCAGTCAGAACCTTTCCTACAACTGCAATCCAAGTGTTGAGGACAGTTCAGAACTAGACCTAGCCTGTGTGAACCGCAACCATATTCAATCAAGGTTTGAAATGGAAACAACTATCAGCAAGTCTTCTGCTATCACCGTGTACACTCCTCAGTGGACATGAGCTATGTGATTCCCATTAAAGCTATGTTACACTGAATCATCTAGGTTGGAAAGGGCCCTGGAGATCATCTAGTCCAGCTGTTCTCCTAGCACAGTTCCCACCTACAGCATATCCTTAAGCTCTAAAGCGACCCTGCTCTTGAACACCTCCAGGGATGGGGACTCCACCACCTCCCTGGGCAGCCCATTCCAAGGCCCAACAACCCCTTCTGGAAAGAAATGCTTCCTAATATCTAGTGCGAACTTTCCCTGGTGCAACTTGAGGCCATTCCCTCTTGTCCTGTTGCTTTCTACTAGGCTAAAGAGGCTCAAACCCAGCTCTCTGCAGCTTCCTTTCAGGTAGTATTAGATGCAAAAGGGATAATTTACACCACTTTAAAAGATTTTTTTCAGACTGCAGGGGCAATGCAGTGTAGTTTTGGCTGAACAGCAATAAGGGTCAGTTTGCAATCCATCCCCTGGTATACCTGATTTATCACCTTTCAGGAGAATAACATCCAGAATTAAAGGATATTGCAGGATGGGACGCACCAACCCTACAGTGCAGCGCTGTTGGGCCCAGGAACAGCACAATTAGGGACTATGTGCTCTCCGAGCAAAGCATCCTTTTTGTTTGGTTGGGTTTTTTTCTTGAAAGGTAAAATCTGTCTGTCAATGACAATAAGGACAGAGAGAAAGACTTTCAAAGGCCCTGACTGGGCTTGGTCAAGAACTCCATGGGTTTTTTGTTTGGTTTTTTTTGTTTGTTTGTTTGGGGTTTTTTTGTTTTGTTTTGTTTTTTTTTTACTGGAGTTGAACATCTACTGCCTTGGGAAAACTTATTCTGCCTTTGTTTGAAGTTTTAACCTGAGTCCTGAATGGCTGAAGTCAAATCCTCTCAATTTTTCATTTCTAAACAGGAATTGGTGTCAGGAAAGGACATAACCAGCAAAGAAAACCACAGGGAATGTAAGATATGACTAAACCAGCATTTGCTCCAGTTTAATATCAACTCTGCAGACTGCCAAACCCAAAGATCTACAAATGCTAGCAAACACTATAGGCAGCAAAATATCATTTACTTAGGCAGTTAACCCAGTGAGCTAACAGAGATGAGTGAACTCTTGTACAGGTAATCTCATTGCTGCACCGTAAAAATCCACCCCCACTTCTAATGGTTTCTGAAAGGTTTAACAGCGAGATCTTGGGATAGACATAGATTCTGCTTGTGCCTCAGAGACTTGCAGAAACAAAGGAATAGCTCAAAAGGATTAGTGAAATGTCCCATTTAGATGACCAGAAGCTGGATATAAACATTAAGTTCTCGATGACAGCAAAATGCTCGACATGAGACTACAACAATCAGACCTTCATGATGTTCTTGAAGATGTAACTGTAGGTGTCTGTCTTTGTGTCTCGCTTTGGTTTGCAGATCACAATATAATTTTTGAAGAGGAAGACATGTCTTTTGTGTCCTTTCCACGCCATTCTAGCTCCTGGAGCTCCTTCCCACACAATGAAGTGGCCCTGATAAGAGGAAGAAGGAAGAGCACAGAGTGATAACTCCGCAATAATCACCACGATGATGTCTCACCGTCATTTTTCAGCAAACAGATAAATGTTTACTGTTACATGGTCATTTTGTGTGTGTCTCTGGTTTATTACGGCACAGCAGATTGTTTCTAATGCTAAAGGCAATCCATCAGACTGACAGTGCTAACAGGAGTGCACGCAGTAGTTGTCATTCTTTTGACCTTCAAATGGTATTCTTTGTGCCAAAAACACACAGAGCCATGGTAAGTCTACAAAGAAACAGGAATTTGAGTAAGGGTGTTGAAAGTCCTGGACTACTGTCCAAACAGCTGGGTCACCTTTCCTCTCTGCTCCTAAAACACTCATCTGTTTCATGAAAGAGACCTGGAGAAGCACACAGGTCTTTTGAAGACCTCTTATCTTCACAGCTGTGGGAGAATATCCATAAAGTGATCTAAAGTTTTCACATGGAGCATGTGCAATGTATACTACATCACCTTGTACTGACGTCCTAACAAACTAGGCTCTTCAAAAGGATTATGTCAATTGAAAACAGGTAGATTGGAAAGGCCCAGTAAGCTTCTAACACTAGAGGAATCAACAGGAAAACCCACGGATGTCAGTAATTTCAGGAGCTGGCCCATGTAGCTTGCAATACTAAGAGAGGAGGAGGAAAAACTAAAATGCTTTAAAATCAGGTGGGAGCCCAGATCAATTCTGTTCCTGTTTGATGAGTGGGTTGGAAAAGCAAATAACTACATTATGTGTGAATTGCTCCAAACTTAATCAAGTTTAATCAAACTTAATCGACTTAATCTGGTGCTTTGGATTTATTCAAGCCAGGAGACCCATCTCTCTGAACAGTAAGAAAGGTAATAAGCAAATGCTTACTTTCAGGTTTGATTTCTAAAAGAGCTTCTTGTAGGACCTAAGGGTACTTAGGAACTATTGAAGGCATGCATTACGCTAACACTGACTGAGAAATTCCAGTCACCTGTCGGATGGGTTCACCAAGGCTTTCCAAGGTCCCCGGATAATTCTCAATGAGTGAGACATGGAGGTTGTTTTCTGCTCTCTGGGTGAGTGCAGACACAATGGCATAAGCCTGCTCCAGCAAAGTGCAGTTTTGGCTATTTCTTGCTTTGTTTCGGATTAATTCCTGTAGATGAATAAAGAAAATGTTACTGGACAGCCAGATTAAGAAAACACATTTCCTTGATAACCAAAGAGTTTCTCAATATCTATTCCAGCTCTTTCATCAGAGCAACTTTTATCCCATTCTTCTACCATGTGCTGTTTAGCTACTAAAGTGTCCTCTTTCCTACCCATTCTGCAGCCTCACTGACTAGCCAGCCTGGCTTTTCCTTACAGCAATTGATATTAAGCAAAGAAAAAGTTGAAGCAAATACCAGATACGCTTCAGTGATTGAAAACCAAAAAACCCCAAAGCAATCCTAAATGTATCCACCGCATTTCTCTTGTGCTTACCCTGACGATACCATGAGGCAAGCAATTCATGTGGCAGTGCTAAACTAAGAGTTACCATTAGATTAAAAACAAAAGAGGATGGAAAAAACGTGAAATGGCTGCTATCCTTTTCTTCAACGTTTGTTCCTGTTCCTCTCTTCTAGTGGTGAAGACATGCTCACTTGCTCTTCCAAGAGACCCTTTAAAATGTTGGTGTTTGTGTGCAGGCAGGTGTTCAAAATTAGAAACTTTATTTGAACCTTCTTCAAACTATTCAGACTGTTAATTCTGTAATGCTAGAATACAGAAATTTGGCAGTCGTCTTTCTGACTATCATAGTGCTGTTTCTCATGAAAAGTACCATTAAAAAAATGCTACTCTGAAACTTTCATTTGTGGTCCGGGTTAGAACCTGAGACAGTAAGACAGATGAAAGCTTGACATGTGAACCGTTTCAGGATGGCAGAATGGGGCAAAGCTTTTATGAAAACAAAAATTTAATCTTATTTATAATGTCAGTATGAAACACAATAAGAGAAACTGGTAAGTTAATATCTTATACATAGGAGATAGCTTATTTTTATAACATGCCTGTTGCTGAGTGTGAAGCAAATTCATACTTGTCTTGGAAATACACATACACGTACTCATATATATATATGTATATAACCATATACTTTTTAATATGCATATATTTAAAGATCATTCAGATAAAGCTTGATGAACTTTATGAGGTTGGAGACTATGAACCTCTACCTGGATTTATATTTACACAATTATTTAGAGAGCACCATCACTAGTGATGATTACTGTCTTTCTTACTCAAGCAGCTTTCAATTGTAGTTGCATCAGAAGAAAGCGAAGAAACGTGAAATTAAAATAGTCTTTTTCTACACAAGTTGCACAAAGCAGAACATAAACCTATCCAATATAAGTGTATAACAAAAGCTCTTCACCTTGATTATAGACTGATACTGCTGGATCCTCTTTATGGGTTTTTCCAGGTAGTGCTGCAGTGGTGGGATAAGTGGCTGTGAAGGATCTTCATTAGTTAAAATTTCATCTGTGTATCTCTGAAAAAATACATAGAAGAATGATGAAAGGTTGTTATAAACAAGAACAGAAAAGATTACACATAACATATTTTGGCAGTCTTCTTTCTGTCTATCATAGTGCTATTTCCCATTAAAAGTACCATTAAAAAAATGCTACTTTCATTTGTGGTCTGGGTTAGAACCTGAGACAGCAGGACAGATGAAAACTTGAAATGTGAAAGTTTTCAGGATGGGTAGAACGGGGCGAAGCTTTTAAGAAAACAAAAATTTAATCTTATTTATAATGTCAGTATAAAACACAATGAGAGAAACTGGTAAGTTAATCTTGTACATTGAAAATTGCTCTTATGGAAAAAATGCTCATATAATGCTGGTTCATAGACCTACCTCAGCCAAAATTGAATAGGTCTATCAGACCTTACTTCCCGATATTTTGGACTTCTGTAGCCCTCACCCATTCTTTACTGGCTAGCTTTTATTTTGGACTGCAAGGTGTCTGAAATGCTGACTTTGTCTGCTTTTCCAGTGCAAGAACGATGCTGGGGAAATGTGATTCAAATCTTGCAGAAGCAGATGGTGTGAAAAGAAAGATCAGCACTTTTTGGAGGTGGGAGGACAGGAGTAAGTAAACCCACTGCCAGCAACTGGTGCCAGGCCTTGATCAAGAGTGGTCCCGGTGTTTGCAGTGCCATCAACTAGAGTAAGTGAGGGTCTCGGCACCGGCTCCTGGGGTGGGAAGTCATGGGCCATGGGGTCCCTGTGCTAGGACATCAGCCACCAAGCTGGATGTTTATTCTCTCCACTGACCTGGTGCACATGGGTGCAACTCTGTGCAATTCATCAGCAAAATTCCAGCTGGACTAGCTGCAAGTAGGAGACCCAAGATCCAGTCATAGACATTAGGGAGGCTGAGAGCTTGTGCTCATAATTTGAGGGATCGGTGAATGTGGGGTGAGAGTGAACACGTGCATTTGTTCTCCAGTGAGCATCAAGCTGGACAAGCTGGTGAGTAGGAGGCTTGTGGAGAGGGTGAACACTCAGTATACGGGTATGGATATCGAACGGACAGATGGGCCATGCTGCTACTCAAGGGATCCACGAACATGCATGTGCTCATGGATCTGGAGTGTTGTGTGTGTGTTTGCACTATTGAACTTCAATCCTGAGCAGCTGAAGAGGACAAACAGGATTTTCCTACCTGTACTACTATTTTATATGAGTTCACTTGGTCTTATAATGTGGTGGCCCTTAAAACATCCCTTAATTACAATTGCATAATGGCAACCACATTCATAACTGCATAACTTTTATAATATTCATATATGCATAGGCATATGTAAATACGTTCCCCTTATTGATTGTACCAACCAGGAAGAGCTAGACAGTGAATACAAAATTATTATATTTAGCAATGATTTCCCACAAAAATATTTAATAATCCTTTTCAAGATCACATTTGTGATTAATAAATACATTTCTTGATGCAATGAGCTATAGGATGCGTGTTCAGCAGGTACTCTGGCTACTGGTTTACCTTGTAGAAATCCTGGACAGCTTTGCTAACAACAATCGACTCGGCCTGTACTCTCCCCACCAGGTACTGGATGTACTTATTAAACTCTGCCTCATGCTTGATAAAGCACATGGCCACGTCATCATCAGTGTCACATTTCTGCACGCCTCTGAGGAAGACACTGTGGAGACAAGGAAAAAAGGACATCTGAGGAGAAGGTGATGGAATGAGGCTAGAACACCGCCCCAGCAGCCAGACCTTTAAATCAGGTAATTTCTGATTAATGCATGTTAAATGAAATGACTAGAGGAAATTAGGGATGTTGCCACGTTAGCACTGAACTTCTCAATGCTGGCCCTTTTAGCTTGACTGTATGAAATGCCCTGCAAAGAAGGTAGGGATTATTTTTAAGGGTTTATCTCAGGTTGGGAAGTTAACCCCTCCCCAGATCTTTATGCCTCAGTTTAAGGATCAGTGAGCTATCCATGAGTGAAGACAGAGATCTTTACTCTGTTTCACAAAGGCGGTTGAGCCAGGTTCACATGCACAAAGATGACATACATCAGCTCTAGCAGTTGAAGCTACTTTGGGGCAAAAACAAAAGGAGGGGGAGAAAGAGAGAGAGAGGGAGGAAAGAGAGGGGAAATCTATTCTCATGGCCCAGTGAACTGCTGGGGTTTCAACCCCAAGCCCCAAATTAAGGCTGACATCTGGGTGGTTCCCACAGTCCTTCCCAAAGGGGGGTGAGTTTCCCTTCAGGCTTCCCTCCAGGGTGGTGCCGGCCTGGCAGGGAGAGCCATGGGGTAAAGGAGCCCCGGGTGTCTGCATTCAGTGAACAAAGGTCAGGTGTCCCACTGAGGGATAACAGCTGGGACCCCTTACAGGAGGGGCAGTGTCTGTCTGTGAGGGGGATGCCCTGTGCAGAGTTCCCTGTTGGGGAAGGGCCTCCCGCCTCCCTGGGACTGGGCTCCAGTCAGCTCTGGCTTTTGTGAACGTGGGCAGTGTAGAGATTCAGTGTGTGGCTTCCTTGGTCTTATGTGTTTGGTTTAACTCAGTTGTCTCCTGTCCCTTCTATGGGAGACTGCATTTCACCATTTATTCCACCTGTTGTTGGTCGTGTGGTGTCTTTGTTGGGGTCAGTGGCATTGATGTCAATTATGTAGAATCTGACTTGTTTGTACCCCCAGCGCTCACCCATGTACTGACCCTTTTGTATCAAATACAATTTGGTGATTGGTTCATCTTTATGCTGGCTGTGTCCTTTATGCTAGGCCTGATAATTGGCAAAACAGCCAGCAAAAGTGCCAGATGTCCCACATAAGCATCCTCACCATTGCAGAGGTTGTGCTTCCCATAATGATTTCCCTAGAATAACTATATATTTTTCCCTGCAACCTGCTCAAACTCCTTATTGGTTGCTCCTGCTTACAGTGCTGCTAGCCCTGATCGGAACACGTGATGATCAGGGAAGATTCTGCATGCTCACTGGTTGTTGAACTTTGTGCGTGCATGTTATTGATGTCCCCCCTAAAATAAACCAGAAGTTAGGACCAGAGGGTAGGAAAACAGGGAAGAAAGGGTGATTCTCATGCTGTTAGGAGGGACTTCCCTTGGGAACAATCACTTGCCATGTGAGCAAGGGTATCAAGGTGCAAAAGGAGGCCTCTTAGCAATGGAAAGCCTAAGGTACATAAGACATTGGTGCAAAGTCTCCTCTCCTTGGCAAGTAAAAGTATTTCAGCCTGGTCCCTGGAAATTCACTTGAACACGTGAACAGCATATCTGCAGTAAATCCTTTCTTGGAGTAGGCAGCGACAGCCTGCCACAGCTGGATGTGTTTTGGATGCATGGATGCATGGATGCTGGCATCAGTTTTAGGGGAATGTGTGTCTCTATGAAGACACCACTGAAGTGTCTGTAAGACCATGCTTTTAAAAATATTTTTACAATATTTTACAGTATTTTTACAATAATTCACTGCTTCTTAGTCAAATTTGCTTAAAAGGATAAGAAATAAGCTGGATATATGAAGTCTTGAAGCTCTGAAGGGTATTATGAGAGCCCCAACCCTGTGCTCTGACTTCAGCTATGCCACCATCATCTATCATCCAAAAAGGACCATCAGTTGCCTTGCACCCCAGCACTGTCAGTGCTCCACATCCTTCACAGTAACGATAGCTACTGTGGCTCTGACACCAGGTATGAGCCACACTCTGGTCTCAAGTGAAGGCACATGGGAATGCCCACCTGGAGTGGAAGCGAGCAATGTCATCAATGTTTCTGAAGATGGTGGATTTCTGACTGGTAACAGCTCCGGGGACACTGGGACAGGTCTCAGTGTACTTAAGATGATGGGTCTGGAGGAACTGTAGATCTTGAATGTAATCCTCTTCCGAGATCAACAGTTCTTGAATAAGAATGCTGGAAGGAAAATGAATAGGCAAAAGCAAAGCACAGAAAAGTCATCACAATTATCCTTGACATGCTGAGAGGCTTCTCGCCTCTGAAATAGAGATACTTGATCGGAGAAGCAGACTTTCTGCAGTGTGCTGACTAGATCCCATCTGGCCTTAGAAGGAACTTAGGTCAGGAACTGCTCATGACACTTAGAGGCACCTGCTGTTAAGGCAGACAAAACAAAAGCATGTAGACAGTAGCAACTTCAATGACACTTTATGCAATCCAGAAAGCAAATACCTCTGTGACAGCACACTCACTAGTGTGCTACACTACAAGGGAGAAACACAGGGTTGTAGCCATTTTTCTGAGAGTGCTTTACCTCCCTCTTTAGACATCATCCTCAGATACAGAGCACCCAAAAGTACAGAAGCACTGAAGTTCAGCAGTTTTGTGATATCTGAGATCTTCCAGAATTACATCATGTAAACCTTTCTTTTCAAGTCACCTAATATGATTTTAGGTTGCCTGGAATTTTCCTAGGCTGAAATCAACGGCAAAAATTAATCAAAGATTAAAAAAATACAAGTCTGACAGAGTTTGCTTGGTTTTGGGAAAGGGGAAGTGGCAAGACTCAGAAGAATAGTAACAGTGACTCTGACAAGAGGCACCTAGATGCCAACATTGATGTTAGTTCACAAGGCAGGAAAACTCAAAGGTACAAATACCAAATGACACAAGCCCACCTCAGCTTCCTTTTATATTCATCTTCAGAAACAAATTCTCCAGGGAACTCAGGAGCTTCTGTTGTCCCCCATTCTGGTGACAACTAAAATACAAAAAAAATCCCCGTTTTTCTTTTAAGTTAACAGTGCTTTTACCAGTACACACTGAGGAATATCCCTGATGTGTCGTGTTTCAATTATTCCTAAACCAGTGTGAAATTTCTTTTTTGCTGGAGGACGATTAGGTCTTTCAAACCCAGGCACACCTGCACACATACAGAAATGTTGTCTTATCCGAACATGAAAAGGCTCAATGATGTTACAGAACTCTTCAACAACCTCCTCATCCGTCACTCTTTGCAAAAGGGGTGGCTCTAAACTGCAACTGAAGCAAGTAATTTTACACAAAAAATAAACACAGCATGATTAGTCACCTTTAATTTCTTGTCCAGATAAGCTGGGGATACCCAACCTTGTCGAGAGGGGCTAGACTTTGTGGGCTTGGTCCTGACCAGCCACTTCAGAGGATGAGCTGAATCAAGGACTTCCACATATTGACCTTCTTTCAAAGTGATGGTCTCCCTGTCAGGAGCAGCAGGCACGTAGTCAGCTGTGACCATGTAGACGTCAAAGATCTACAGGCATGAAATGACAGTTATTTTGTGCTCTGAAAATAGAATATAATAACACCAGCAGAACATAAGCGTGTTTAATGTTTTATTCTCCAGCCCTTGTAAGGGAAAGAGAATCACTCTTTGCTTTTGCAATTAGAAGACTAAGTCTCTAGGATGCTCAGGCCATATTTTCAGAACTACCTGAGGTGTTTTGGATTTACAGCATGAAACACTGATTTTTGTCTCCCAAGGCAAAACAAACAGTGGTCCTGAAAATGTAAAAATAGGTTAACATTTTCAAAGGTGGAGTTGGTGGGGTTGGGTTTTTTTGGAAGTATTTGAAATGAACATCTAAAAAAATTTCTAATTTTCACAAAGTTATCATTTTTCTTATGAAGAAATTAACAAAATTCTTCTGACCAACTCTATCTAAGGCCACAGAAAATTAAGCTCTGGCTTTCTGAAGCTCAGACATGAAAGAAAAAGGTGCCAAATAATCGTTATGTTTTGACCATGTTGACCTGAGCAACTTGTTCAAGATCACACAGTGAGCATCAGAATTTGAGTCTCCGTGCTCTGTATCACAGACCCAATATTTAAACACTAAATAGACCTACCAAAGTAAAGTATATCCCTAAAGGGGATGGAGATCCTTAAAGCAGACAAGACTAATCATTCTAAGTAAAGTTTTCCCCTTGTGTCAAACTTGTCCATAAAGATATCATACCTCTCCTCTGGAATCCCCATCTTCAGATTCAGAGGAGGACTCCTGAGCAATGGATGAAGGTCTGGATCGTCCATGGCGAGGGGATGCAGAGGGAGTTTTTGATTCATCATCACTTTCTGCACCTGGCACTCGAAGTTTAGCTAAAAAGCAGAGCAACAACAAAGTGTAAAATAAAGATCTCCAATTCGGATGTGAACCAAATGTGGAATAATTTTCAATTTCATAAAAACAAATATTCCCTATGAAGAGTATATGTAGTATTTAGAGTGATCTTCTACTGATATTTAGGATTAAATATATAATCAGGACATTTTAATGCATGAGGTTGCATGCCTGTTGCATGTATTGCCACTGCACTGCAAGAATACTTGTAGAAGAGCCTCTATTTTTGCTTCAAGATAAAATTTTACTACAAGATAATGGGTATATGATACCCAAACCAGGATTTTTCATTTAATTCAACAAATCATTAGGTTACTGTACAGCTGTGCACACAGTTTTCAGCCTCAACTTGATTTTAAAATCCCACTGTAAGCTAAAACTTGAAGATGTGAGAAGTCTTCAAAACAGGATTGCTTTCAGACTTGGGAGTTTGGAATATCTGAGGAACATGAAATACCTAAGATGTTCAAAATACACTTCGATTTTTACAACTTGCCCTCCTCTCTAAAGCTTACAGTTATTCCTACTTATTTAAAAAAAAAACCACTATATGCATTAAATGGACACCAGCTATCTCAAAGCTCTAGACTGTAGTTCAGAACTGTACACTGAGTAGTTCAGAACTGTAGGTCAAAACTGTACACAAAGACATGCAGTTTGGATGGACGTTTACTAAAAAAAGTCTGAAGCATTTACAAATGTTCATATGCTTATGTAGGATGACTGACTCAAAACCTGCTTCATAAATCTCGCAGATATTTAAAGTCCAGATGACACCCAAAAAAAAAGATTGCATGTTTTCTACGCTAATTGTGTTTGCCAGGTTCCTTACCCTGACTTATTTTGGCAGATACCATTTCTGAGATATGGGATGTGAGTTTCTGCAGGAACTCTTCTGAGCCAACATCAGCTAATGAAATAGGGCTTTTGGGTACACCTTCTCTACCAGCTTCAAGGTCTCCTGGAAAAAACAGAATTCCCCATTAAGGAGGCAGTGGCACTGGAAAGTCATCTTTTTTTTTTGAGAAACAAAAGCTTTTGTGGAAGGAAGGTCTAATTTTCTTCACGTCCCCTGTTTTAAAAACTGTGCTTTCTCATATTTAATCCAAATAATTCATCCTTGAACTGAGACCAGTCCTGAAAAGTTCCAACGTTTCAAACTGTTCAAGGAAACAGGACAAAAATAGGTGGTAATCATGAAATACATAGACAATCCCAACTGTAGATGTGAAAGGTAGGAGTAGGAGAGAGAAATAGCTTCTCTTACCTTCTCTTGTTTCAGAGGGATGAATAGCTCTGAAAAAGAAAGAGTAAAGCAGAATTAAAAGTTAAAATAAAATGTGCAATGAGGAGAGCGAAATGAGAAACACCCTGTCCTTCTCACACCTTGTACATGAAGCCTGGGAACATCTAGATTAGGACTCTGTTTTGGACCACAGCTGCTGGCAGACAATACTCACCAGGGACAATATGAGAAATGAGAACGGGGGCATCTGGCTCATATGGGCACAGAAGAACTTGAGTGTCTTAGTTTAAGTCAAATCCCTTATTCCTGACTTTTATTTCAAATTGTTGCTTAAGACGACCTGGCCTCCCAGGAAGTGGGTTGCAGAACAGAGTAGCCTCCATCTCTCTGGTTGCTACTGGGACTTTATTCCTACTGACCCTGAAATAAAACTATTAGAGTTGGAGACATTATGTCAAGTGAGATCTGTAGCCTCAGTCAGTTCTCAGTGAAATACTGCTTAACAATTTTCAGTGGTTTCATCAGGACACCAAGGACTGGAGAGTATGCAGATGCCTGTGGTCCTGCTAAGAGAGATCCTCCCATCACATCCGGATGTTTGGGTGTTGCAGAAGCAAGCTGACTACTGGCTTTGCAGTGGTTTTGAGGTCCTAAGATACCCTTGCTACACCATCAGCTTTTACCAGCATCAAATTCATTCATGCCGGCAGGAAAGAGGCAATAGACTCTACTGTTAATGCTGAGTGAAAATGGCTTCAGAGATGTGAAGAACTACCAGCATTTGCTTGGCATCTGATGAGGAGTGTTTGTGCTGCTCCCCAGGACTACAGTTCTGTCAAGACACTAATATCCTGAAGTCAACATTTTTGCTATTTCCTATGCTTTTTGGGGGTAGGATATAAATTTTCATTGCATGAGCTGATCTGCTCTAATTCTCTGTTAGTACATAAGCAGCGGGAGGAAACTCACTCCACTATATGACAAACCATACATCACTAAACATGCCTAAAAGAGCCTGGGCACATCCTGGGAAGATGTTGCAGTGGAATAGGTGACTTCACACGGCGGCTTTCTTCACACTTCAGAGGAAGACTGGTCAAGCCTTTTAGGCTGGACATATTCTAGAAGCTAATGTGCATTCAAGTGAATAACACTTTTTAGACTGTATCTGCCTAGTATCCAAGCCCAGAAAGGTGATTTGAAGAGGTTATTTTATTCTTCAGGTACATTTGTAAACAAGAAGTTTGTGAGTGGACCCTTTATATCTACTTCTTTTCCTGTGAAGCATCAGTGTTGGTCAGATCTTGACCCTGTGATTCTTTTTGGCATCCTGCTTAGAAGATGAACAAGTAGCAAGAGTTTTGTATGACCTTTTTTTTTTTTTTTTTTTTTTTTTTAACAAGAGGGAACAGTTTTAAACTGCAACAGGGGAGGGTCAGACTGGACATTAGGAAAAAATTTTTCACAGAAAGAGTGGTCAGACAGTGGAATGGGCTGCCCAGGGAAGTGGTGGAGTCACCATCCCTGGATGTGTTAAAGGGTCATTTAGATGAGATGCTGGGGGATGTGGGGTAGGGAAGAACTTTGTAGAGTCGGGCTGAGGGTTGGACTCAATGATCTTTTCCAACCTGAATGATTCTTGGATTCTGTGATAACAGAAAAATTGAGTCCTTCACAGTGCTGCTCCTACTCCTAGCCTATATTTTCTTGTCCCCCATCTTACTGAAGGAACTGTGCCAGGAGAGGCCCTAGAAAGTTCAACAAAATTGGAAGAAAATAACTCTAGCTGCCTCAAGACAATTCTACAATGTAAAGCATCTTAACAGAGTGAAGCACTCAAAATAATTTTTCAAATTATGTCTTTTGTAGTTACTTTACACAGCCTTTCTTCCTTTCTTTTTCCTTTGTACTGAATTTGGTTGTTTCTTAGACAACATGTTGCTGATACAAGATAGGGTCAGAAATATAAAACATTATAAAAGTAAAGACTGTAATCATTTGTAAGGCAAGAAAAGTCATGGCTAATCTTGGGAAAATGAATTTTTTTTCAGTTGTGATTTGATAATATTTTTTTTAATCAGTCATGCTTGTTTTTTCTCTTAGGCACTGCATAAAATGCAACATAGAGAATGTGTTTGTAGTGTAACGAAGATTTACCATCTGCAACTTCCAGGGTGGCGGTGCAGATAGACTGGCCAGCCTTGTTGGTAGCAATGCATGTATAAGCTCCACTGTGCTTCTTTTTAACATCCAGCAGGATTAGACTGTGATGCATATTTGAACTGGCAAGTTTATACCCATGAGTATCTGGCTTGATCCAGATGATATCTTCCTGAGACTCTTCTTTCAGCCAAGTAATAGTTGGTGGTGGATGTCCTAAAGGAAAACCAATACAATGAGCTTTAATTTTCCTAATGGTGTTCCTTCTTTACAATTATAAGATATGTGGATAATAAATGATATTTTGATCTGTTTCCCGATGCTTTTCCAGTAATAACAGGAATAATATATAATAAAGGAACCTAAATATTTCTACAGCACACTTATAAGGACATTAAACCTTTTTGTAAAACCAGACCTGTTAATCAACACATCTTCATACGACCAATAAGTGTTGTTATCCCTGTTTTTACATACAGGAAAATGAACAGGAAGATGAATAAGATGCTTTTCTGTAAAACATGAAGTCTCTTACAAAGTTGGGAGTAGAGTCCCAGACTTCAGATTCAGGAGATGAGGTTGCAGTGACTTGGGCCAGAGAGAGTCTGGAATGTGCCATGAAGTTATACAATTTAAGTGTTATGCCGAGAGACAAGGTATCTGTCCACTTACCTTCAACTTTTACAGATAATGTGATGCTTGCACCTTTTTTCACCTTTTTATTAGTAAATCTTTCTAGGAACCTTGGTGGTATCAGCTGCTCATGGGAATCTGAAAACGACATTGAAACATGGTGACACCTTCTGTGTGAGTTTAGACTACTGAAAAACTCCTAGAAGTTCTGTTATCACCTGCTGTGGCTTCTCTCACCTGTTTCTGATGGCTCTTCTTTCTCATCAGGATCTGTAACACAAGGAGAACAAAATGACAAATACAAATGCCTTTCTATCCATGAGCTGAAAAAAAAAAAAAAAAAAAAAAAAGTGGCTCTGGGGGATTACTCCATGCAGGAGATATTACACAGAAATGTTAGTGTAATATATAAGAGGTCCTCCGTTTTAATAAAATGAATCATTAATGAGGCTGGGCAGGAATACAATGTATATTTATGAGACAACAGTCAGACACTAGAGAAGTGTCATGTCTCATCTTCAGGACACACAGTAAATTCATAGGTGAACCAAGTTTAAAGCATGTCATCTTTTATCTACAGTCTTTCCCACCTCATTTTGCTTACCTTGGTAGGCTTTCTCAAGAAAAATAACTATATAAAATGGAAAGAGCCACTGGAATAGAGAAAAGCAGGTGCCAAAAATAGTCTAATACCTACCTTTGACTACTAGCCTGGCTGACGAATATGCAGAACCAGCAGAGTTGATGACAAATACTGAGTACTGGCCAGCATCTGCTTTAGTGACATTGCGGATTTCCAAGGCGTGGAATTCCTGTTTATCAGTCTTCAGGATGCGATCCAAGGCCTTTAATGGCTGCCCATTTTTGAACCAATAGAGACGAGGCTGTGGGTACCCTGCGAGAAGCAGTTTACAGACATGGAGAATGGAATGCATTGACAATATCGATTTGGGAGCATCTCTAAACAGGCAGATCCTGCTGAGCAGGAGTCAGGGAATCCTTAGCTCTGCCTAGGGATGGTGTTTCAAAGATTTACCCCATTACGAATGTCTGTGAATTCATGAAATTCTATTTATCTGTTAAAGTTCCTTCTTGTCTCTTCAGTTTCTTGCACTGCCCATATTGGCTGCATGTGCAAACGCCTTCCAGGTTAGAAAGGTAACGCTTAGGTCTGATTTGCAATGTACACAAAGAAAAAAGTTGAAGCCAACACAGTTATTTTTATAGGCAGCAACTGGAGAAAACAGGAGAATCCCTGTGTCTCCCTACCACAGACCAGGAGGACATTTTTGCAGTTTTTGGGTCACAGCAGCACTCCCCTCATAGAGTAAAGCAAGTCCAGGACTGGTTAATTTGTTAAACAGAATAAAGGACACCCTTGCTATCTTTTTTTATTCCCCATTGGTCCTCCATAACTAATGTGCTCAGAGAACTACAGTACTCAGTTTTCAGAATTGTATGCCTGCAATTATGCCCTGGAGACATGGACACAGGACGAGACACTTAATCTGTCTGAGTCTGTTACAGTCAGATTCCATCAGTCAGAACAGAGTGTTCTAGCTGTTTTGTGAAAATGTGGTGCAAGATATACAGATTGGGGTCACAGGTGTGGAAGAGCACATCGGAAAACCTTGTCCAGCAATTCAACCTGAGAGCAAACCTGGAACAACTAACAGTGCTGGGGCTACCCTCACCTTTCACCTTCAGGTGAAACTTAGCCAGTGATGCTCCAGGTGCCACATGAATGTCATGGAGCTCATCAAAGATCTGGGGCAACTGTTCCTCCTCAGTGGTAGATTCCTCCTGTTCTCGGCTAAGAAGCAAATAGAAATAGAGAGAAGAAAGTCAGCAAACTAGAAAAGAGTTAGGCATCAGAATCACCTACTTTAGATTAATTCAGTCTATGGGTTTTGTCATCATGACGACAGATTCAGCACCATATGCCATTAAAAGTAGTGGACTGATACCATGAAGACATATCTAGGCTAGTCTGGAGGCAGCCGGAGCAAGTCTGTGCATGATATATGTCCAGCTGTTGCAGTTATTGCATCTCAGCTGGTCTGGCTGTTCCTTTATGACATTCAACTGGCTCTGCTAGAAATAGCAAAACCAAGCTTGACATACTGATCTTATTAAGTCAGAAGTTAGAAAGAGGTAGAGTTCAATATTTTACCTTGAAATATATTCTTTGGCACTGTAGTAAGAAGATGTCTCTGTTGCATCTGCTGCTGTCTCATAGTCAGTGCTGGTCACTGTTAAATGGAAAAGGAAGTGTTTTCTATAACCTGAGCTTTGAAACTATTTTTCTTACTATAATTATAGTTTCCCTACTAATTTGAGCAGCTGGCAGGTAGATTCCTACTACAGCGGGATCCCACATGTCCCTGGATTACGGAAACACCTCTGTTTAGATAAAGAGCTTTGCTCTGAGCCTTGCTTTGGAGTTGGCAAAACCCAACTGAACCCAAGAGGTTTGCACACAAAACATTTTGTGGGCAATGCATACAGGTTTTTTTAATGTACATGGTGTTTTTCTTGGGAAAAAAAAATTATCCACCTCTCAGCAGGATCCCTTCTCTTGTTTTTTCTACAGTGACTTTGAGACTTACAGTCTACTCGAAGCTCAGCCTTGGTTGAAGCAACGCCCATGTTGTTTTCAGCAAGGCAACGGTAAACACCCATGTCAGTGGGGACGACAGCTGTGATGATCAGCTGATGGCACCCTTCTTGGTCCTCATTGATCATGTAATGATCATTTTCTTCAATAGCTTTCCCGTCCTTGAACCAGCGAACTGTGGGGAGTGGTTTGCCAACGACAATGCAGTCAAAGCTGACTGGATATCCATCTTGTACCTCTTGGTTCTGGAGCTCAGTCATAAACATGGGAGCTAAATTTAGGAGAGAAGAAAGGAAAAACTTGTGTTAAAAGATGTATTTTAAGAGCACTGCTGCCCAGCACCTGAAGGCTTCTGGTTTCTACATTTTTTAATTTCAGAGTGATATCTTTTCTCTGTGACAACAGAAAAGAAGAAACGCCCTGACAAACACTATGAAGATATTCCATAACACCATAAGCATTGCAATACCACAGCTGCAAACTATACATTGCCTCTGTTCCTCTCCTTGCTTTGTCTTTTCTCAGGCAGGACCATTCTGAAAACAGTTTCATTTATTTAAGTATAATAATCATAGCATTTATGGCCATATTATTGTAGTAGGAGACATTTCTATTGTGAAAAGGAGTTTTATAGGTAAGTCAATACTTTGAAAAAAAACCCCTCATCTCCCTCAAAATGGAAAAGAATAAAAAATTAATCAGTTTTTCCAAAAGTGCAAAGTTTCCAGAATAATATCTACACTGAATGAAAAACAAAGGCTTTCTGGGAGTTATTTTTGAGTGAAAAAATAATATTCTGACCTACTGCAGCTGTCTTTTCCAAAGAACAAAGAGGTTTGCTTCACCTACCTGTATCGGAAGTCAGCAAAGGTGGTGGAGGTCTCACTACTGGTGGTGCAAACTTCCCATGGGTGGGTGGTGTTGCTTTCCCAATACGCAATTCAATTTTTTTAGGGGCTTGTTCCAAAATGTCAATCTCCACGGGAATTCCCAGAGCACCAAACATCTCTCTGAATCGAGTGGCAGCAGTTTTTGCCTCAGACAAGATTTCAAACTTGATGTAGATGTACTGGTCATCCTCACGATATGTCTGATGGTCGACCACCTCTATGTCCCCTTCATCGGCACTGACAAAGAGTTCTTCCTCCACATCAGATATCTCTGTTGAGATCTTGGCCTTAAAGAGTCTATGAAGTCTCCTTCCTGCTTTGCGGAAAGCTTCATCCAGGTCACTGCCAGACGAGCTCTCTGTCTCACTGTCAGTGCTTTGTTTAACCTGCTTCTCCTTACAAAGAACTTGAGGTTCCTGAGTGCCAACAACCACCTCAGCACTGTGTGAAACCTTGCCAAATTTATTGGATGCCTCACAGGTGTATTTACCTGCATCTTTGTTGTCCAGGCCAGTGATAATCAAAGAGCAGGTCCCATCGCTGTAATTGTCTATGTGATAGTAGCGACCATCTGAAAGCTCTTCCCCATCCTTCAGCCAACGGACTTTCATGTCAGTTTTGCTGTGGGCCACACACTCGAGGTGGAGAGTGCTTCCAGGCTCACCAGAGAAATCTTTGAAGGTCTCAGTAAACACTGGGCACTCTTGTTGCTTTATCTCTTTCCTGACTTTGTAGCCTTTGAAAGCAGCCTGGATCTTCACGGCCGCCTTGTTCATGGAAGGGTCATCTAAATCTGTTATTTCTGGTTCAGCTGGTTTAGCAGCTGTGGCAGCCACAACAGTCTCCACACTGGATTTCTCCCACTGTTTCCATAATTTGCCTGTGAAGGTGGACTGAGCCTTGCTAGTGACACTGACACTTGTCTTCCCAGCTTTCTTGAGGTAGTTCACCAGTGAAGGAGTCCCAGCTCTAGACTCATCATCTGAGCTTGTGAAAGAGAAATCTGCTTCTCCTGTCCTAGCCAGCTCATCACATGTGGAGTATTCCTCTGAGTAATAGTGAGACATCTCCGCTTCCTCCTTCCTCAACTTCTGAAGCTTCTCATCCTCTTCAGGCACCTCACTGATGGAATCCAAGGTGGGCTCCCGACTCATTCGGCGTTTCTTGGCCAGGGCTTCCCACAGGAGGTGAAGGTCTCCCTCCTGAGCAGCCTCAGGGGGCAAGCTGGGCTGGACATGGCCATCCACCAACTCTTCTGGTTGGCTTGCAGGGGGTTCTTCCCTGGAAATCTCTTTTAGCATTGTCACTGTGGGAACTGAAGGGAATTAAATTGATAAGGTGTTAAAAGTCTGTGCATATGCTCTGAGAAAGCACATGGAAACGTTATTCTAAAGCCAAGGCAAAAGAGTATCTGGCATTTAAGCATTCTGTTGAGAACAAAACATTAAATTAATACAACTGGATATGGTCCTGGGCAACTTGTTCTAGATGACCCTGCTTTGAGCAGGGGAGCAGACTGTGCTATCTCCAGGAGTACTTTCCAACCTCAACTATGCTGAGTTTCTATGCATGTGCATAAAACTTGGCCAAACAACTTTTTCTTTTTTTTTCTTCCTTGCACATTTGAACCCAATAAATTAATTTCTGCCATTTTTGAATATTGCAGTCAATTAACATCTTGTTAAGACTGTCAGTGGAGCCTGGAATGCTATTCCAGACTCACCCTATTTTACAGGTAGACAGGGCTTCACTGCCTTGAACAGATCTCCACTGGTTGTAACAGGAGCTGAGTGTCCCATCTCACACGGAGCTATCTGCCTGTAGATACTTTGGTTTAGCTGTGTTAAGACTGAATGTTGTGTCACCCTTTGGGACACACTGACTTGCCTCTGCATAGTGCCCAGTGACATCTGAGATGCTGCAGGCTGTCTGGGACATCCACCTATGGCTCTCAGATACAACACAGGAACTATGAGTGCTCTGGGTTCCTCTGGAGAAGGAGATGGAGGCCAGGGGTGATATCCTGAAGTGCCTCAATGGCACTAGATACCTGTGTGTGGGCCACCAAATCCCACCGTAGGGGCACAATTCAGCTTCCTAAGCACTATGACCCAAAGCCATTTGGGATGTCTAGGACAGGGTTCTGGTGGATGCCATGTACAACATATAAAAGAGCCCTCACTTTCTGAAGTGGCAACTGAAAGCTGGGCAGGATACCCTAAACCATCTCAAGAGGCAGCAGAAATCCACGTAGATACACCTGTATCACACCTTAAATATCTGACTCGGGAAAATCTTATCTGAGCAGCCCAAAGCTCTTAGGAATGCCGAAACATACTGGGCAACAACAAACAGGAAAATAACAGTAATTTGTGGATTGTTATCACAGCTTGTAAAGGAAAATTAATTCCAGTCCAAGCTGTGGAGATGCCCCTGGATGTCCATAAACAGAACTGATTTAACACCATGGGAATGCACTCTGTACCTTCAAGATGCAAGCTGGCAACAGATTTGACTTCTGGAGAAACCATGCAGGTATATGTGTCCTGATCTTCAGGTTTAAATGAATGAATAATAAGTATCTGTTTTTTTCCATCAGAGAGGATCTTGTATCTCCCTCCAGCTTGTATTTGGTCTTTTCCTTTGAACCATGTCACTCTTTTTTCAGTTTCACTTGATAATTTGCACTCCAAGCGAGCCACCTCCCCTTCCGAGACTGATCCTCCCACCAGAGGATGGGTGATTGTAACTGAGGGCTCTGTAATTACAAAAAAGTGAATTAACACCAAGAACATAGCAGAATCTGGTTTTAAGGCACTGAAATCATTCTATAAAATATTCAAGCATTCCATCCTTAATTTATAGATTCTTTAGCTGTTGTAGACAGTCAAAGGAAAAAAACCCAACTTGGCAGCATCCAAAGTTTGCATTTCCAGAGATAATAACAAAATAACTTAACAAGCTTTCCCAGCAGTTATATCAGCTACATTTAAATATATACATGCAAAAGTGATTGCATTTTTTACATTCCTGTGCTTATTTACCCATCACCAGTATTCAAGCAATCCTACAGATTCTATAAGATCTTAAAGTTTAGAAGCATGGCAGTTCTGAAGTGAGACAAGAAAGAAACAATAAAAATAATTTCAAAGAGATTATTAAAAGTGGCATTCATCCCAGTCTTGAAAGTGAAAAAAAAAAAAAAAAAAAAAAAAAAAAAAAAAAAAAAGCTTGTTTAAGAAGAGTAAAAATTCTCAGCATAAAGAATTTAAAAATAAAAATTCTTTGTGTCTTCTTTACTTTGGAAGGAGGTCTGCCAATGGCACGTTGTTTGTACGACAGCAACACTCAAAATGAAGTCAAGACAAATGCATTAAACACGGAGATGTTGACGGGAATGAAAATCACACATCTGCCTTCCCAAAAGCAGCACACTCCTGAGCGTGATATGCTCCTCTGCAGACTTCACTGGGGTGAGGGGACCACTGCCCAAAATACCTTGGGTTTATTGCAGACAAAGTCAGCATATGCAGTTATCAGAGTCCAGCACTGACAGTTGATGTGTTTCAAAAACACCATTGAGTGTCTGAGCCTTAAGGAAAAAAGGATTTTTAATTATTATTCTCACTCTGAGGAATTTGTTGGGCACTTGGTTATCACAGAAAGAGTTGCAAAAAAAAGAAGATTGAGGGAGTGGCTCTCTATCCCACTGTAGCTTCCAAAGTTTCACCAACAGGCAGCAAAGGAACTGTGTCCTCCAGCATTTCTTTGTGGGGATTATTGAAAAAGATAAACAAATAATGTAACAAAAGAGAAAGATGGGTGAAGAAGACAACGTTGCCCACCCACTGCATTGGTACCAGAGTCTTGGTTACCCCAAATGCATTCCAACATGCCCATTTTGACTCATTCCACCTTAACTCCACCAGAAAAGAAACTCATGGTGACCAGACAACACACGGATGCAGTGCAGGCTGCCAGACAGCTTGATGCAGTTTGTAGAATACAAGTGTTGACTACCAACAACACATCAGGTTTTGTTCACGGCAGCCCAGGACAGTTTTTCCAAGCTCTTTCTCCTGTATTGTGTTGGCAGCAAAGCACTGGGAGACATTGCAGAGTGAACTCTTCCAGGAGATGCCTGGAACAGGTGAAGCAGGCATGCCATGCGAAACACAAGGTCAACAGCAGCTCACGGTCCTCCATGGGGCATCAATCTGTTCTCACCTAGCTGCACCACTTGAGGGAAGTGCACTGGCTCACTGGCCCCAACTTCGTTTACAGCTGAGACGCGGAATCTGTACGGTTCACCCGGGGTGAGATCATCCACCATAAACTCTGTGGTTTGAATAATGTCCTTGCTGCATGACTGCCAGCCAACACCTGGGATTTTCCTCTCCACATTGTAGCCTAGGATGTCACAACCGCCGTCACTCAACGGCTTGTACCAAGACAGAATTACAGAGTGGCTGTTCTTACTTAAAACTTCTGGTTCTTCAGGTGGATCAGGGTGGGCTGAAGGCACAACAGAGGTCCGGTGACGTACGGCAAGAGGAATAATGCTTTATACTAAAACAACCAAGAGGCTTCTACAAGCAATGAGAAGGAAGCACAACAGATACAGTATTTGTCTTATTGTAAAGCTGAGTGGGTAAACGCCCATGACTCAGACACACCTGTGCACCATGGAGCTCTCCTTTGTCTGCCCTCATCTACCCTGCTAATGACAAATACTAATTTTCCAGCTGTCATCTCACATACTTAATATCACGTATCCTTGTGCATTTTTCCTGCTGCTTTGTCCCACCCAGCTCAAAATAAAGATGACCCTACATTGTCAGTGTTATCAGGGAACTTAGTTGAAAAGTTCAAGTACATTTGTCATTGATCAGATTTATTTCGGGTCTGGCCTTAATGGAAATCAAGTTACTGTTGGACTGCAGAGTAACCCTAGCAGTTTAATAGCAAGTCACTCACTTTCTGCGTATGCGTTATATATGTCACAGCATCAGGCAATAACAAATAAATACCTAATGGCAATGGTCTGGCGTCCTACCACACTGCCTACTGACGATCATATTCAGTACACTGGAAAATGTTCCTCATTAATTTACACTTTGGCTTAGAAGACAGAAATAATTAGAATAAATTAAAAAAAAAATAGCCTTCAGGTTCAAGGCATTTACCAAGTAAATGACCCACCAAAATGTACCAATCCAACAAACTAAAGGCAAATACAGTCAACAGCTAGTTCTTTAATTCTGGACACCAGAAACATTTCTTTCCACGTAACGTTAAAGCTTCTTTTCTGTATTTTTAGCCAAATTTCATGCAGAAAACCTGTCAACGGGAGGAGTGCATGAGGATAGTATTTTGCAGTTCCTAAAATGTAGGTGCCCAAAATCAAATAATGCTGGTTTAAATCTGTGAACAACCAATTTTTTTTTTTTTTTTTTGTGAAAATTACTGGAATATATCAGAGATCTCTCAAGTCTCAGAAATCATTAGACAGACCGACTGCCTGTAATAATTTAAAGAACAAATGGTCAGTCAGTGGCTCTTGAGCATCTCAACTACAGTATACAGGTAAACTACCTTGCAATTACCTCGTAACATCACTGGCGTTACGCTGGCGTGGCCATTGCTGGGTGAACCACCTATGCCACTGTGGGAAGGAGCCAGACCTTGAGTGCTGGGACTCACTGGTCTAACCTGCTCCACAAGGGAACTGGGCAGCTATCATCTTCTCTACATGCAAATTACTCCAAGAGCTATTAACTCTTGTATCTCTGAAGTACACAGTGTGTGTTTCACGGATCTCACCCACATGAATATTTTAATATTCAACTCATTCATCTGGAATACTTGTTGCCCTCCATTTGAATAGATTAGCAGATTTCAAAGGGTTCTCTGCTGCCCAGGATAGTTTTTCTGCGTGCACTCTAGTTCAACTCCTGCCTGTGCCCCCATGTTTGCTGAGGGTGACGTTGAACTCTCAGTAAATTGATCTCCTTTGATCTCCATGTTATATTTTACACAAGACTCCAGCGAAAGAAAGGTGGTGAATATCTCTAGCATCTGTATCCTGATACAATTTTCTTCAGATGAGCTAAACTGTTTCTGGTCAAAGAACAAGTTGCCCAGCAGCACCTTCTCAGACTAAGAACACTGGCTTGGGACATGCAAGGCACAGAGAAAAGAATCATCACAAAGATTAGAAAATTAAAAGTTGTAGCTCAATACCAAAGTCTGAGATTTCAAGTGCCACTGGGCTAGAACAACAGACACTTACCAATCACAGATAACTTGGCTGATGCAATTGCTTCCCTGGAAGCAAAGGTCACCTCTCCAGAATGATGCAGTTGGGCTTTTTTCAAAATAAGTTTGTATTTGCTTCCATCTGCCTGTATCTGCCAGTCCTCATCCGATTGGATTTCTATGTCGTTACTATACCAGGCAACTTCGTTAATTGGCACAGCTTCACTTAGAACACAGCTGAACGTAGCTTTCTCTCCCAGAGACACTTCCACATCTGTGAGAGGCTGCAAGATCTGTAGGCGCCATCCTATAGATAAAAACAGGTGATCAACCCCCTCAGTTACAGAAACAAATAAAGGCAAGGGATTCTGTGAATATTTATGTTGAAGCTCTGGACAGACAGGCCTCGGAGACCAAGGAGATCATTAAGAGGGAAGTTATGTGTATGATTAGAACAGGAGGTAGCACTGGGGGCCAAAACTTTAAAAGCAAGCTAACAATGTCTGTCTTTCCCAAGCAGCAGAAAACTGCCATGAAGATACCATGCAATGACTGAGGGGTTCCGATCCCCACAGGGGTCTCCAGTAATAGCATAAAATGCAAGGATACAGAGATAACGTCGCTGCTGACAGAACTCTCATCTCTAGAGCCTTGAAGTACCTACAAGCAGAATCTATCTCATCAGAATAATGCCAACTGTAAGACAGTCATTTGCTGCTAACTCATTGCCAGCTGACGCTGATTATATCTGTGTCATGATGTACAGAACAAGAAAAAAAAGGAAATTGTACAACATCATCCATAAGAACATTTAGGTAAGAAGCAAGCAACAAATGCAAATTTTCCTCTCTGCTACTCATCATATTTCCCTGCTTCGTTTGCCCTTTGCAACCAGAAATTTAAGACTCCCCATTGCTTCAGTTACCTTTCACTGTCAGGAAGGCTGAAGTCACCGCATCGCTGCACGTAAAAGTCACCCTGCAGCTGTCCTGGGGAGTTAGGTTCTTCAGCAGCAGAAGATGCCTGCGCCCATTTTCAAAGTAAACCATCTCAGTGTTTTCTGTAGTTTTGGCAGGTTCGTCGTCAATCAGCCAGTTGTAGTTGTAGCACTCAGGTTTGGAAAGGTAGCATTCAAAGAGGGCTTCCCCTCCTTCCACAGCTTCCACATTCTCCAAGCCCTGGACAATGCTGTTCTTGGCTAGCAAAGAAGGACAATGAACAGTATTAATTATTTGGCCATGCATATTTGAATATTAACAACCCTCGGAGCACTGGATGATTCCCACTGCTGGAAAGCTGATGGAAAGGTTGTGTATATGCTAAACTGTAGGTTTAGTTATTCATTTCAGCTATGCTCTAACTCAATATTATATTTAAGAACACTTTTAGTGGTGAGATAGTTGAAAAATTATGATCAAACTCTAGGACCTTTAGCATTTCATCTAGACTTCCTCCAGAAAACCTAACTTCTGTTTTGACAAATAAAGGAAAAAATGTTGTTGTTTATGCGAATCAAGCCAACACTTAATAGGAAAGCATAGCTCAGGAAGATAAACTATAATCAGATTCCTTCTGTCCCACAGCAGGTAGCATTTCCCACGGATCTCCCAGGCAGCACTATTATCATCATAACTGGGAAGATGTGAATCCACTGACGGCCCATTATAAAATTGTACTACCTTTCATGCAAAGCAAATATGAGAGAATATTATAGCTGGCAAAGCTGTAGTGACTGTCATCTATGTTAACGAGTCTGCCTCTAGGAAACACACACAGTTAAAATCTGTATTAATAGTATTTTGAATAGAAGGTTTCTGAATTATTGCAAAATCTCTGTGATAATGCATTAGGTTTATTTTCTCATAGACCTTTATTTTCTCACGTGTGCGTGCTGAATCGTGTGGTCAGAAGCATGCACATATCTACACACTCCATTTGACTGCAGAATCAAGCATCAGTTGGCATTTGGACATAAGCAATCAGCCTGATGCAAAATTAAATACAGGCTGGTACATGTGAATCTTATTTGTGCTAGACCAGTTATGTGGGCAACTTACATGCACCACAGTGGGAACACATGGTTGAGTAAATACGATTTACACAAATACCATACAATGGTCAGCATGATCTATAATATAAAACAACATCCTGAGACATTCCTCTTTGCATCTCTATAATCATTATCTGGAACTGTTCTAAGCAAGGAGAGAGAAAAAAAAAAAAAGGGCAGCTGAACAATTTATTCAATAGCAAAAGCATGAGTTACTAAAAAGTTTCTGTCATTTATAATATTCATACTTATGGAGAACAATGAGGGGTCTGTAAATCCCTGGAGAACGTATAATTTTGTTAGAATGAATCCAAGCTGTTTACTTGTGCATTTTTGGAGTGCTGGTTTCCCTGACTATGAAAAGCAGACTATTGCAAATCCTAACTCCTCTGGGATGCTTTTAGAATACATTTATTGACATCTTTTTAAATCCCTGGAATTGGAAAGTGCTTTTCAATGTAGAAAATATTATAATAAGTAACACCCTGTTCTTCTGTACTCACAACTCTGGTTAGGCAAGTAGGCATAGTTGCCTAACAAAGCACAAAAATTCAGAAGTCACATCAGCACTACTGCTCTTCCTGATCACACTGATTCACACGGTGACCAAAACGAAGAATTCCACACACAGCAGAAAAAAACCCCAAAAAACAACCAAAAAAACCCAAAACAAAACAAACCACCAAACAAACAGCAGTATAACCCCCTAAACCTATTGTTAATTTCTTTACTTGCTGTTTCCCAGGGCCCTCACAAACGCTGATGACAAATGAGAAGGTAATTCCTGAGTGATCAGTATTTGAAGTAAGTAAAATACTAAGCTGTCTTAGTTTAGCTGAAAATAAAATGACATTTCATGCTATCCATTCACTACTGGTTTTAAGACACACTGTGTGCAAATAGCACTCTGTAACAGCAAAAAGTTCTCACTGTTCCTTTGGTGATTTTTCAGTCGTTCAGCAGGACACATCCCAGTGCACCAGTGTTCCAGTTCATTGCAGAAGTGTGACGTGCAAGTGGTGTAATAAGTGAATGTTAATTAGAACTAAGCTCCAGTGAAACGCTGCAGCTTTGTATTCGATTCCCATTAACTTCCAACTACTTTTATCACTGTTAGCAGTACCAAACAGTACCACTGTCAAACCCACGGTATCTCACTGCTACCAGTCCCAAAGTGCAGGTATCTGATGTGTCACTTATTGTGAGGTGCTGCCGTGATTTTTCCACCTCTTTTATTTGGAACCCATGATAGTCTTCCTCTTTGGCTGGAAGACCTCACCTTGAACATCAAGTGCAGCCATCACTTTAGTGCCTTCAGCTTCACAAGAATAGATGCCAGTGTCTTCTGGTACCGTAGGTTTAATTTTTAGCATGCTTACATTCCAGTCCTGATCGATAATCACTCGCTGCCCATCTGCATGTATTTCCTGATCATTTTTCTTCCATATGGCGTGTACTGGCCTAGAATACTGGCATATGAACTCTGCTGTGCCATCTTCATCAACAGTTATATCCTGCATGGGACTGACCACTTCAATGGTTGGATCTGTTAACCAACATGTCAGGAAGGACATGCATTAGTGGATCCTCATGAAAATTTGCAACTTAGAGATTTTTGACAAGCACAAAGCCTGTGGGGAACAAGCAGAGTGACAGTGCAAGCAGGGAGATGACTGGGCACGCCGGGGATTAGCAGTTTAGTCTGTGCTTGTGTCAGCATCACGCAGGATTGAAGCAAAACTGGTACATTAGAATACAACTATCACACTGGAAAATGGGCCACCAGCAATTAAGGATTGTGCTTTAACAGTCCTGAATATTAACTTCTGTGCAGAACATCTGCTGTGATTCCTTCCAGGCTTAGTTTTCCCCCCAGCATTGCTGAGACCATCTAGACTAGAAAGTACTGGATGTGAAGCACTTCTGCTTCCAGAACGTGGCAGGAGCGCAGGTCTGAGATGGAGGAGTGCACTCATCACACAGCGGTATAAAAACACCAAACACTCTACTGGCAGCTCCTTCTAGGAGCAAACTGTGACTATTCTTTGGAAAGAAATGCAACACTCAAATGCAAATATTCACCCCTGCTCCATCCCTGGCGGTGTTCAAGGCCAAGCTGGACAGGGCTTTGAGCAACCTGGGATAGTGGAAGGTGTCCCTGCCCATGGCAGGGTGGTTGGAACTGAATGATCTTTAAAATTCCTTCCAACCCAAACCATCCTGTGACTTTATGCTTCCTGTCCTGTGGTGGTGGTGATGGCTATACATCAGGAGTGATTGGCAGCACGAGGACAACCTGTAGCAAAAAAGGGCACTTCACCAGACACAGGTACTTGTTTTGATTAACCATGTGGTCCTCTGCAGCAGAGACACAGTTCTGGGGAAAAATATATGGTTTCCTTTACAATAGCCGATCTAGAGATGCAGCATGAACCACTGCAGCTTCAGATTGAGAGCCAGTAAGATGCTGGGAGCAGCTGGATACACAGCTCCTCGGAAGAAGGCAAGATCCATGAGACTGCTTTTAAGCATCCAGTCTTTTTAAAAAAAAATATTAGTCTTGTTTCTCAGGAGGCAGCTATAAAGCACAGTATATCTATCTATCTATCTATCTATCTATCTATCTATCTATCTATCTATCTATCTATCTATCTATCTAACCTCATAACATTGTGAGCTTCCAAATCAGCCAAGGAATCCCTCCTGAGACAAGAAATTGGACCACCTTCATACAACTGCAATATATACGCTGAAAAGAAATCTCTATGAAGTCTGAAAATGGAAGTCTCTGCAACATCCTTCTCAGCTGAACTATGTCAACTTCCCACAAAAATGGGTATGGCTACAATAGGACATAACAAGATGACAGTCAGTGAACAATAATATAGCTCCTTATCTTTCAAACAGTTGTTCTGATCACGTCAGACAAAATAAACTACACTGGACCTCTGGCTGGAATGCTCCTCTTGAAACTGGTACATCAGGTTGAGGATTTGGGATGCTAGTGGCAGACCTTGGGAAGCAAAGATAGTTTTGCAAATGTCTTTTGGAAAGTTGGTGCAAGGCTTGATCCTGGTCCCTAAGGCTCCATCTACCACTCCACGTGTCTGCACGTGTGTATATGGAGAGGAGGCATCGACGCCAGATCATGGAGGTGTTTTGGTTACACCAGGACTGAAGAAGCAAGAAGGTATCTGTGCAGACGGGGGAGTACACTGCTGTCCCCTTCCATAAGATGCAGACATGTGCTCCTCTCAGCAAATGTCACCTGTGGCCTTGGAGAAGGAAGGCGTCCTGGTTCTCCTGCCTCATTCCTCTTTGCCACTGCTAGCCTAAGACCTTGGTGGCCCTATTCACACCATGCTTCTAGAATGGCAGAAAGCTCCTTGAGATTTAGGAGCCAACATATGCCCTGGGGCCTGTAATTCTCACCCTGCCCAAGGAGGTCAGAAGAAGGCACAGCTCCTTCAACCTTTTCTGTTTCCCCCTGACCATATGTGAAGACAGAGTCATGATGAGCCACTGAAGGAATGTAGTTCTTGGGCAATGATATTGTGAAGGGCCAACAAGAAAAGCTTCCATGAGACCTTACTTATTGTAGAATATATCCAGTTACAAGCACGCTTTACACCAGGAGAACGGGGCACATGGAACAGAGAGAAAGACAGCTCGTTCCTTGATGAAGAACAAGCTATGGATAGCTAGATAGACTGAAATACACCTAGTTTGAAGACAGGTCTATTTTAAAATTTCTGGACAGAATAGAGTGCACAATATTGGCTGTTAATACAGGTACAGTTAGAATTTTGCTAGTGTTTTACTTCCCTATTCAATCAAGTATTATAACCATGGTGTAACTGAGGTGGGTTTTAAATACCTTTCTCATCCTAATCCAATTATAGTCCTATACTACTGTGATTCAGGTTCACATTAAAGAAATCTTGTCTTAATAGAAGCACAAAATATCCATCTACATATGTGATCTCCAGTGGTCCCTTCCATCATCAACAATGCTGTGATTCTGTGAAATCAAAACTTCTCAGGAGCTCTTTATTTGACTGAGTAGAATACCTAATGATGCATTTATTTTAACTTCATGTTCTAGGCCCTAAAACGAGGTTTTGTCTCTGAAAATACGAAACTCAAAACTGATACAAATGGACCATGGGATCTGTGTGGTTTGCACACATAGTTGTTGCTGCATCATTCTGATATGAGGAAGAAGTGGTTTGGCGTTTTATCTTTGTAGAGAGTTAAATTTTCTGAACGTACAAGGGACACATTATCAGGAAGGAGACATCAATCACTGACAACCATTCATATTGTGGGTCATTGCTGTTATAGTAGACAGTTACACCATGGTGGTAGATTTTCATACAGAACTCTTAACCCTTTATTTCCCCATATATACAAATACGTTTTCCCAGCAAGGAATAAGTTACTTTTGTCTGAAAAATAACAGCTTTTCCCAATGGCTATAAAAGGACCGGATGTGAAGGAACTTGCTTTATCAAGTCTGGAGCTCAGTGTTATTTGCGGCTTCTGGCTACCCTTACCAAATGAGAAAAATAATTATTCAACAAACCAGAAAGCTTTGCTTGTGCAGTGATGACCATTACTATTCTGGCAGTCAACAAACGACGCACAGTTTTGTCACTGTATTACTGCAATGTCATATACCCTTTGGTTTCCAGGAAGAGGTCTGGAGCCCAAAGTCTTGGGAACATACTGAGCTCAGCGCCAGCAGCCCAGCTGTGAAGCAGCACAGCGGTAATTTTGTGATTTTCCAGCTGCATTATATTTTGTGGTGTTACAAAAACACTTGAGGGAGGGATAAAAAAAAAAAAAAAAAAGAGATGCTACCACAGTAGTTTGTGTTCAACTCTAGATGTCAGGTAAAAGCAGCAGCCCTGACCCTGCAACCCTTTCTTACCTGAGCCACTGAAAAAAAAATCAGTGTGGTTTTACCTGTAAGATTTCTGGCATGAGTATGGGTGACTTGCAGAAGTAGAGGGTTGCAGAGCACAGAAGAATTGTGAAGGGATTTAGTAAGGGTAGCCTGGAAGGCAGAAGCACTAGTGCACTGCGCAAGTCCAGAGGTGGCCATGTGTGTGTTTCTCACAATGAAATACCTTTGACTAATAATTTAGCTGAAGATATAAGGGACCCAGCTCTGAAGGTGACAGTGCCTGAGTCATGGCATGCCACGTCATTTAGGGTTAAAGTGTGGACCATCCCGTCCCGCTCAGAGATTTCAGTCACAAAGTTGTTGTGAAGGGGAGATCCATCGAGCCACCACTGCACGTTCTTCACGCCCGGGTGCGAGAGCTCGCAGGTGAACGTGGCTGACTCACCCACAAAGACGTCTGTGTTCTTTAAACCAGAAACTATGACTGCTGCTTCTTCTGTATAACAGAGCAAGAGAAGGTACCAAAGGAAAACAAAAGCATAAACATGTACATGTCTCCCCCTGCAGAACTAGCCCAAGCAACACTGCAAGTTTTCCAGGAATGCTAAACTTGTAATGCCAAGGGAAAGTTGTAATTCCAGGGGGAAAAAAGAGCTGAAATCCTCATTAAGGGATTTAGAAACCACCTTCCATCCTTCACCTGCTTGCAAGCGCAGCGTGTGTATGTCTGCAAACACTGTTTCATTGGGAGGAAGCTCTACTCCATGACCAAGTCATGACTGGCTCTTCTGTGTGTTGCAACCACCTGCACTGACACTGTATGAGGTGGGAGGCGGGGAGGTAGCTTAGGTTTTAAATCGTTACTTACAGTGCTTGAAAAGAGTAATAATATCAACGATGACAGAAGCTGGAATCAGTAATAACAAGTATTTCAGTATTTTTTTTATGACCACTGCTTCAAGCACAGAGTTTTTCATCAGTACCATCATCTGCTATGGCGCACAGTATGGTCGCTACTTTGAGCTACCTTAACATATAAACATTGGTCCAACCTCAGCCTGGATGTGCTTATATCTCCACTGAAATCAGGAAATAAATGAATGGACTTTCACCTGTTTGCATCTGAGACAAGTCTGGCCCGTTACTGTCAAAAATTTTGGAATAAGAAATCCAGGCTGCAAAATCAGAGCACTTCTGCCACATTTCACCTTACCTTGCACATATACAGAACCTGTGGTGATCTCGTATCCAGTGCTACAGGTGTAATCACCACAGTCGTCAGGCTCTACACCATGGATGATCAGCTCAGCAATGTTGCCTTTCAGCTTCATCTCATACTTGTCACTGGGCTGAATGACCACCCCTCCTTTTCTCCACTCGACAGGAGCATCCGGCTTGGAGATCTCACAGTGCAAGACAGCTGTTCCCCCTTCTTCAGACTCCACATTTTTCAGCTCTTCATTAAACAGCACGGGTAGTACTGCAGTGGAGAAGCAACTGCATCAGTGACAGTGCTCAGAGGTGCTTGCAACTTCTCCAGCTTGGTAGTCCCCCTCTTTCCGAACCACAACTTGCCTGCTGGCAATGCCAAGCCCAGAGCAGGACTATGGGTTGTGCCATAGCCAGACACTCACGGGGATCGGGTGATGATACACTGAGGGTGTCCACTGCTGCTCTATAAAGGATTGCCATGAGTCACAGGACCCTCAGGGGGTTTCATGTGGACATACACACAATTTCAGCCTAAGCAATGGAGGCACAACAGTACCAATCACAGCATTTGGATGTTTAATCACTGAAACCACGCACTCCAAGAGGAGCTGGTTATGGGGGATAAACTCAGGATGTAAAGGCATGATCTAACTGCTTTAAAAGTAATAAAACTATAAAATCAGTATAAAACTAATAAAACTATAAAATCCAAATATGTAGCCACTAAAAAGGGGCCACAATCTTGGGCTGCTCCAGCTCCATTTAAAATGAGCCTGTTTTAGGTATGGTGAAGTACTCTGGTCTCTTCTTGTCAGGTAGCAGGCAAGTTTCCTAACTGCTCTTGTACGTACCCTCCATTAACAGCAGCTGCAGCTTTGCTCCCAGCTCTCACAGTGAGATCAAAATTGCCACTGCAGAAATAGAGTTGGGTTTAAAAGGCACTAAATTCTTCTTTGAAGAACCAATTGTGGATCAAACCCTTTCCCACAGCTGTAATTCACAGATAGAGCATTGATGATTGCTAATTCAGTGGTAAAACTTCCTTATTACCCCTGTGGAGAACAGCCACAACTATAAGTTCTCTGCCTTCAAGCAAGGCTTCTCCTACCTTTGACCTGCAGTGATGCAGTGGTCTGCTGATCCCCCAAGTCACACGTATAATCACCAGCATCCTCGGCCTCAGCATCATAGATGAAGAGCTCAACACGTGTCCCCTCCTGCCGGATCTCGTACTTGTCACTTGCCTGCAGCACCATATCTCCTTTCCTCCACTCCACATGTGCATTGGGTTTTGTCAGCTCGCAGTGCAGCATAGCCGTGCAACCTTCCTCCACCTCCTCATTTTTCAGGCAGTGTTTGAAAAGCACAGGGAGGGCTTGAAAGGAGGTGAATGACGCAAAGAGAAAAAAAAAAAAAAAACAAACAGGCAAAGCAAAAATAGAAAATGGAAGAATGTTTTCAGGTACTGATAATGCCGTCCATGAAATTCATGCACAGTTCTGGCTGCATTTACCTAAGGAGACCTGCCGGGGGGGATGTCTAGGTCTAAGCCAGACAGGAGGAGGAGGAGGGAGATGAGCTAACCAGCAGGAAAAATTTCAGTTCTACAAGAGCTGCATTTCTCTCCCCAAAACCTAGACTTCTTTTCACAAAGAATTCCCAACTAACTTAAATAATTTTCTGAAGCTCAGAGGGTTTTTCATCCTCAAAAGCACAGAACAGGATAAAAGTACTCAAAGATATACACCTGCAGACCTGAGGGTGCACCATTTGAAGAACAACTTGAGATCATGCAGCCAGGAATCAATTACAAAATAATTAAGGCTGAAGGGACCTTTTGGAGGTCTTCCATGGATGGAGATTCCTCTGCCACTCTGGGTAACAATTCCAGTGTCTGACCACCACTCATTGTGAAAGGTTGGGTTTTTTCCTACTATGAATTTCTCTTGCTGCAGCTTGCAACAGCTGTGTCTCAGCTGTTTACTGATCACCCCAAGGAAAGTCTGTCTATCTCTCCTCTTTAGACCCCATTAGGAAGCTGCAGAGAGCGCTGCCCCCTTCAACTTTCTGAACAAATCTGAACAAATCCAGCTGCCCCTTTCTCTGCTTGTAGTTCCTGTCTTCAGTCCCCTGACAAACTTGCTGGCCTCTGCTGCCCTTGCTCCAACACCTCAGTGTCTGTTTTGTACTAGAAAGCTCCAAAAATGGACATGCACACCTCTCTCCACTGCTGAGCAAAGAGGAAATCATACCTTTAACCTCTAGCTTAGCAGTGGTCTTCCCATCAGCTGTGTGGCAGCTATACTCCCCTGAATCCTCACGGTTCAAATCATGAATGACCAGCGTGTGCACGTTCCCCTCCCGCTTGATGCTGCACTTCTGGCTGGAGCGGATCACAGACGTGCCTTTCTTCCACTCCACCGGGACATCAGACTTGGACACCTCACAGGACAAGTGAGCCGTGCCACCCTCCTGTAGCTGCAAGCTGCGGAGCGCCTTTACAAAGGTGACTGGAGCAACTGTGGGGAAGAGGGTACCAACATTGTTGCAACCACCTAATGCAGATTGGAACTGGGTGCCTACAGTTACACTGTGCACCAGATCTGAGAGGAACAAACAAGGTATTGACATGGCCCATCTCTCAGAATCATTCTACATCATTTAATGGGAAGGTTTTTCAGAGTTTTTGGAGTAAATTTTATCTAAAACTTCATAAGTAGGAGATTGAATGCATATTCTTGACTTTTTTCAGTATTGATTCTGAAGTATCTTAGCTGCTTGCTTCAGGATAAGTTGGATGGTCTTAAAAGAATGTTTGCTTCACTACATGGACTATAAAATGAGTGAAACGACTAGTTGCGATGTACGTATGTAACTCTTAAATGCCTAAATTACTTTAGCAGAATCTCCCAACAACTCCAAGGGCCCCTCCTCCCAAATACACTTCTCCAGAAGCTAAATCAACGTTGACAGAGCTTACCAGTACCTCCTCAATCCCTCTTCCTAGGAGGCTGCTCACCTTGAACCATTAGCTGTGCTGCTGAGGAATGCTGCCCGACTTTGAAACTGATGGGCCCACAGTCTTCCAGTGTCACCTTCCTCAGGATCAAAGTGTGACATGTCCCTTGGACTCTGATCTCATTCATTTCATTGGATTGCAGGGGAACATCCCCCAGGAACCACTGGGCATCCTGAGTTGTTTCCCGGGACAGCCTGCATTCAAACACTGCATCTTCTCCTTCACACGAAGTGACGTCCTTCAGTGCCTCCACTACGGTTGCTGCTGGTTCTTTATGGAAAGATCAACAGGGTTTGATATCTACTTTCAAGTGATGCTTCCTGGGTTAAGCATTCTGTTATGCTCTTTCTTAACAGTACTATATTATTTAAAAGAACCACCACAAAGCAGTAAGCACTAAACACATGGAAATGTAGTAACACAGGCATGTAGTAACATGTTACATTCTTACAGATGTATGATGTATGTATGCATGCACATATATTATGCACATATATATGATAGTCTGTGAAGTATGCATGTTATACTCTGTTGTGTGCATAATAAATATATTATATTTATAATGAAATGTATTGCGAAAACATTGTCAACAGATTTTAGTGGGTGACATTAACATTAAACCACAGAACCACTGACTAAAGATGCATTTCGGGACCCCTAGAGATAACTGACTCGGTTCTTATCCCTCTGAAATCACTCTTATCTCTGAGATCCCCACGATTCAGTCTGGGCACAGGACAATTCTGTCAAACTACTTAATCATGTGCCCCTACCACAGTACCAAGCTCTGTTCAACTCTTCCCCACACAAAGCCCCACCTTTCACGAGCACGGCTGCCGTTGTTTGCTGGTCCCCTGTGTCACACATGTATTCCCCAGCATCCGCTTCACTCAGGTTGTGAATTGTCAGCTCAGCCACGGATTCAGCCTGATGCATCTTGTATTTGTCACTTGGTCGCAGCACTGTCCCAGCCTTCTTCCACTGCACAGTGGCATTTGATTTTGAGATTTCACAGCTCAAAGTGATGGTGCTGCCTTCTTCAGCTTGCTGGTTCTGGAGTGGTTTTGTGAAGATTACTGGCAAAGCTAAACCAAGATAAATCAGAGGGGAAAAAAAAAAGTATGTTTCATTGCTGACTGCAACACTAGGTCTTGTGCTTAATGAAACTGTGGTGCCATTCCAAATTTGCTTCAAAATCAATTCCAAAGTTACTTCAAAACCCAATCAAGGAATGACAGAAAGTGCTAGATTTCCAGAAGCACTAAGCATTCTGCTCTCCCCAAGAATCACTGGGCACTGCACACACTGAGCATCTCAGGGAATGTGCTCCTTCTTACACAGGAGAAGTCATGGATATGGACACTTGAGCATCTGAGTGGATGTATCTCCAAATGGGTACCAAAGCCACAAGTCACAAGCCTGTGCCTGACATCTGAGTTCTTGAGTATTTAGGAGGGTACATGGAGAAATAATACCCCTCATCTGAAAACTGGACCCAGAAGAGAGATGAACTCTGGAAGTCTCTGCACTGACATGTATCACTGATGAGTAAATATGGAGTTTCGATTGATTGATTTACATGTAGAGGTTTAGTTCTTCAAGTCCAGTTCCCTAGAAGAACTTTGGTGGCTCTACAGTTACAGCTGAATTGATATTTGCAAGGGAAGGAGATTGGGTTCCAGAAATCAGAGTGAACTCACAGGAATCTGGTGACAGAGGTGTATAAGAGGAGGCAGTGATGTAGGGATGGGTGGTTTATTTTGTGGGGACTGACTGTGGTCAAGGCACAGCTGCATTTGCGGTGAAGGCATTCCATTGTGTAGCTAAGACCTGTAGCGCTAGGGCTCTTAGGAGCCAGCAAAGGAATAAGGAGGAGAAATAAAGGCTTTGTGAAGACCTACTCTGTCAGGCTGTGTCACTGATGATTCAGAAATCCTTCTCACAAAAAAGTACCAGGCTCTGCCACAATGTCCCTGAATTTACATATGGATCATCTAAACTAACCTACAGCTCCCTAAAAGGTGAAGTGAAAGCTTTTTGTCACCTTTCACTACCAAGGATGCTACAGTTTGCTCATTGCCAGAACCACAGATGTAGTCTCCAGCATCTTTCAGCTGTAGGTCGTGGGTGAGTAGCTCTGCAGTAGAGCCTGTCTGCTTCATCTCATACTTGTTACTGGCTTGAATCAAGACTGACCCTTTTTTTCCACTTCACTGGTGTATCATGTTTGGAGAGCTCAGCACGAAGGGTGACTGTAGAGCTTTCCTTGGCCTGCTGGTTTCAGAGGGTTTTTTTAAGAGAGTGCTGGCATGGCTGGGAACACAGGGACAGCCATCATCAGAGGATCTGCTTACAATACAAATATTCTGGTATCACTGAATCCTGGAGTTAGCGTGATAGCAGGCAGGTGCATGCCCTTTATGGGACAACCCTCGAGGGGTATTTCAAAAGATGGTACTTCACTGGCTCCTCTTTATTTTTGCTGATCTTGTATCTCAGAGAAAGTCACCTTCATATAGCACTTGTATCAGAGTAGATTTTTAAAAACTGATATATTGGCACATTACACCTATTTTTAAGGCACTAGGAATATTTAGGAGCCTTCCTTGCTTGTCATCTGGAGTTGAGTTCCCAAGGAAGTTTGAGCACTTTGACTCTTGAGCACCATTTTCCCAGGTGGAACTACAGCTCCAAGGATGGTTAAGCATCAAAAATGGTCTCATTCTCATTTTAGTTTCAGCCTTGGTTTTTGAAGTGACCGGAAAGAGGCCCTTGGGTCTAGGATTGTGGAAGAGTTACTGCACTTGGGTCCCTCTGTGTTCATTGCTCAGGACACCACAGGAACTAACTTCTGAAAGCCAAAGGACTCGGCTGCTTTATGCCAGAAGATCACATCTGAAGTCAAGGTCAGTAAATAGCACCCTCTTGCTAGTACTAAGCTAAGGAAGTGGAACACATTTCTCATCTGAAAAAGAAAACAAAACAACCTACCTGTAACAGTTAAAGTGGCTGTTGTTTGTTCATTTCCATTATCACAGGTGTATTTGCCTGAGTCTTCTGGTTTTAAGTGATAAATCTTTAAAGTATGGATTGTTCCTTCCTGCCTGATTTCATACTTGGAGCTTGGGGAAATTACGTGAGCATCCTTCTTCCACTTCACCGCAGCATTAGGCTGGGAGACCTCACAGTGGAGGATGGCTGTTTCCTCTTCCCGCAGCTCTGTGCTCTGTAATTTCTCCTTAAAGACTGGAGGTGGCACTGAAAATACAAAACACCCCAGAGGCATTTACAGTCACCTTTCTCTTGTTTCCCCACAGTGTTAAAGTTGCTACTGAACAGTTAAGTATTAAAAAAAAAAATTACTTTAAGTTCATGTTACATATTGGAAAGTTAAAAGAAGTGAATGGATTTTCGAGAAAACCCACTCACAAATATTTGTTGAAGTTACTGAAGTTTAGAGATGTTTTAACAGGTTCAGGTGGGATGGGGACTCTGACCAGACCAACAGCTTCGAAGAGGGAAGAAGGAGGATATTTGACTGAGAATTTCTTCAAAACAGTGTTTAGAGAAAGACTCCAAAGAGGAAAGAGAAAATAAGGAAAAGGGAAGTGGAAGCAATGAACATTACAGATCTGTCAATCCATCTAGTGGAGCCACCCAGTAATTTCTCTAGAACGCAGTTAGCTTCAGGACCCTGGTGACATATCCATTGTCTATCCATAGGGAAGACCGTATATGAGACCGCCTTAGAGCATTATGTAGGTTTTGAGGCACAAGCACCCTCTTAACATGAGCTAAACAAGGGATGAACGATGGCTTTGAACTTACTATTAGCACAAGCAGAATGTCACCTCACCATCCTGCTCCTTTCCCACATCAGAGAGCCCTTACCTTTTACTGTGAGCTCTGCTGTCGATGTGTGGGGTCCCACGCGGAAAGTGATGGTGCCAACGTCCTGCTCAGTCACCTTTCTTAATGTCAGGGTGTGAATCTTTCCTTTTTCCACTGAGATTTCATTCATTTCATTATTTTGCAGAGCAATATCCTGTAGCTTCCATTCAACGTCCCTTGCGTTTTCATGAGAGACTTGGCACTGAAACGTGACATCATCCCCTTCAAGCACCACCATGTCCTTTAGACCGCTCACGATGGTCACGTCAGGCTCTGCAAACAGTCCACCAGTAGTCAAGCCATGAAAGGGAAAACATGGACGAAATCATAGAATCACTGAATAATATAGGTTGGAGGGGACTTTTGGAGGTCATTCGGTCCAACTGCTGCTCAAAGCAGGACCAGCTTACAGAAGGTTGCTCAACACCTTGTCCAGCTGAGCTTTAAGCACCTCCAAGGATGGAGGTATCACACCTTCTTAAATCACTTTTCAAACGCTGCTGGTTCACTGCTATCAATGTACTGGGTAACATGGCCAATAGCTTTCAGTTAGCGGTTTTATTCCTTGCTCTTTCTCAGAGATAGAGAGTACTGATTTTTTTGAATTACATGTTTGATACTGTAATTGGGTGAATAAGGTGTGAATGCCAGATGCCAAATTCATGATTTTGAAACTTATTGCATTTGCACCTTGATATCTTCGCAGAATAACATTAAAACCTGCTTTTTTGCAAACTGAATTGCTTGTACTCTGCTGGTGCTTCAAACTGGCTCGGGATCTGGTTGGCCCTGTGCTCTCAATGGGACTTGCTGGATTAGTGTTAGCACAGGGCATTTGTGATTCAGCTGGCTTCAGTCCTGCCTCTAGGACAGCTGGGCACCTGCAGATCTGTGCAAAGATCATTACAGACAGCCTACAACAGGCAAGAGCTGTAGGTACCCCAAACCTGCTGGGGAATACCAAAGGAGCAGCAGTGCAATCCTCATCTGAGCAAACACAGTACACATTCACACAACTTAGGGCACCATCTGCATGAAAAATGGTTCAGCTGGGCATAACGTACAGATCGTCAATAATACCGAGTAGCCTGGAGAGATGCTAGTGGTGATTGTTCCACACTAGGGGTCCAACCTGAGAGCAAGCTCTGTCTGTAATGACATTAAGATCAGATGCAGCTGCCATGTGACTGGAAGCTGGGGACGGACCATCTGTTCACTCACAATGCATATGACGTCAAGCAAATATTTCAAGCCAAGAGTCAAAAATTACAGCTCCCTTATCCTTTCCTCGCCACCAAGTGAGTCTTTGCCTCTGTGCATTCACTGACGATAAGATTTCTCTATGATACCCTTCCTATGCTCTGTGTTTAACACAATAGTTTAATCACAATAGCAACAATTAGGTTGCAAAATCTTAGCTTCCTAAAGTGAAAATCCCCTTGCCCCAGTAAATGGGTCTTGCCTTTCACGGTCAGTTTTGCAGAGCTTGTCTCATCTCCAACCTTGCAGGAATACTCTCCAGCATCGCTGGGCTCCAGGCGGTGAACACACAGCTCGCGGAGAGTGCCGTCCTGCCGCATTTTGTACTTGGAGCTCGAGTGAAGGACAGCTCCATCTTTCCTCCACTCCACTTGTGCTTTGCTAATGGAAATCTCACAGCGCAGCCTGGCTGTTCCGCCCACTTCCACTTCTTCGTTCTTCAGCTGCTGCTTCAGCTGAGGTTTGATGGCTGCAAAATAAAAAACAATACATGATCCATCAGCTTGAATGCCAGGTCTGCACAACTCGGGCATCTGGGGTCTGATGCTGCAGAACAAATTTGCATGAAGTGGTTATATGATAACAACAACCTGATTTTTTTTCTTTATAGACAGACCTATACTCTGAATATCCAGACAAGGAGAGGGTCAGGAAGTTCCCAATATGTTTGTTTTCTGTAAAGTCAAGGACATCCACATTACACCTTCTATCTGCTCTGGATATTGGAAACTCCAGCACTCACAAAAAATTCGGCTAAACCAAATCTGTACTTTCTGATTAAAAATAATGTATGTCTGTTCATTTTTACAGAAATATCCATGACTTCCAACACTATAAATGATGTAAAGCTTTAAACTCTTTTCCAATTTCTTTTATATCCTTTCAAGACCCTAGATCATCAACAGTGTCCTTCCAGATGATGCACAAAAAAAAATGGACTACACGTATTCAAGCGGGGCATGAAACAGCTCAGACAACAGCTTGTTACTGATGAAAACAAGAAGGGAATAGACATCGTGTGTGTGTGTGTGAGAGCAGCTGTGAAAACAAGAATCTCAGTGCTTGTGGTTCCCCTGCCTAAACCCTACTGTGACACAAGTAAAGCAAGCACAGGACTCTTTCACTTGTAGTTGATCCAGTGGCTGCTTCATGGGTCACGTTCAGCCAAGAGTTTGTAGTTTGAAAGGTTGTAGGTTAAGAGCAAGGACACAAATTCCACCTAACAGTTTGAGATGATGACAGACATTTCACAGATGGTGATTAATCACAGACGTTATACCTGATTTAAATATAGTGTTCACAGGATCTTCATGGGAAGGCATCACAAAAATTGAAAACAGTAAAATTTTTCAGTTCTTTTGTTGATGACTAATGATTAGTTATTGATACAACTAAGCCATCAATGAATGCAAAACACCAAAAATAGTGATCTATTAGAATTTTGAAATCCCCATGATGCAAAGTTTCTTGCTTTTATCATATCAGAGGAAGGGGTTAATACACTTTACACTCTGCTTTACAGGCCTAAATAGCCATTCTACAAATCCCGTCTCACAAGATCTACTTTTCTGTATTCCGATTTATGGCTGGGCACCTGCTTTCCTCGTTCTCTTAACTTTTGGAAGGGTTTATTCACCCATAAATAGAAGAATATCATTCACACACAATTTCACAAATCCCTTAATTTTGATGCAGAGCTAACCATTCACTTGGAGGACCGCGGTGCTCTGCTGGTCTCCTGTATCACACGTGTAATCAGAGGCATCTTCTGGTTCCACATTATGAATCACAAGTTCAGCTGTGTGACCACTTAATTTAATTTCATATTTGGCGCATGGGAAGAGCTCCATGGTGCCTTTCCTCCACTCCACTGCTGCATTATCCTTTGTCAGCTCACACTGGAATTTCACTGCAGCTCCTTCGTCTGCCTCCTTGTCCTTGAGCTCCTTTTTGAAAAGAATTGGCACAGCTAAAGGGAAAAAAACAGGAGCTTTTATTGAACATTGAGTCAAGTCCTGGTTAATACAGTTAGACACTTTGGAGAACAAGATACTGTGCTTCGCAAGTGGTATATTCCTAGGCAGGATCCATTTTTTCTGATTTGCCTGGAGCTACTAGGAGATCTTGCTGCGTCAGAAGCAGCCATCTGCAGTTAGAACATTTATTTCTTTGTTCCTTGACTCAAATCCTTCTTAGGGCTGAATTCTTTGAATGAATTTATCCTTCAGTTGATCTAACAAAGATCTCAAGAGTAAAGAAGTTCAAAACTTCATGGACAGCCTTGACAGAACAGGAAGATTGTTGTCAGTCTTCTTCCAGTATCTGGAATAATATCTTTTTTTTTTTTTAAATACTTAAACCACATATCATGTGAAATATCCACATGTTATGTTAAACCATTGCTCTTTAATTTCCCTTCAGCCATAAAGCTAGAAAGTGTTTCTTAAAACCCAAAACTCAAATGCAGCACTGGAAGAACAAAGTATCATCCTCTTCCATTCTCATTTAAAAAAAAAAAATAAAATAAAATAAATCCTAGTATATTAGATGAAAAGGAAAATATCTGTAGGGAAAATAAGTCATGTATTTAAAAACATTTATACTTTAACTTCTGGTTTGCATGTTGGATGGAATCTATTTCTTTAGGAGTCAGCTCACACCACATACCTTTCACGTTTAAAGATGCCTTTTCTTCCTGATCCCCAGTATCACAGCTGTATTCTCCTGTATCTTCTAATTTGAGATTATGTATTAAGAGCTCTACCAGGCATTCCCTCTGCCTCATTTCATATTTCTGGCCAGGATGCAGCACCACTCCTCCTTTCCTCCACTCCACTGCAGCATTGGGTTTTGACAGCTCACAACAGAATGTAGCTGTACTTCCTTCCTCTGATTCCTTATTTTGTAGGGGTTGCTTAAATGTAACAGGCAATGCTGCAAAATTTGAGAGGGAAATTTTTTAGGAATGTACAGTCCAAAAAGGACCCAACCCTACCATCACTTTTCAGAAATGGCCTGTTGTAATGATTTCATAATCCTTGGGCTGCAACTCCTTGTCTTGGTAGCATCTTTCTTGAATCATTATGTGAACCAAGAGCTGAGGACAGACGGTGAAGTTAGGAAAATATGGTTTTAGAGAGCAGTCCATAGAATGGCCTGGCTTGTGATCTGAAGGAGTCAGACTTTTCTGCCAACTACAGATGCTTTAGTCAAAGATCACTGGGACATACTCTCTCTTACGTGTACCCTTGTTCCTTAATAAAGGTCTGTGAGTTTGCAGTATTAAGCAAAGAGTATTGCCCGTCCCCCCCAGATAAATTTTCTATCAACATATAAAAGGTCAAGTTAGCATTCGAAACACACAAAGAGGCAGTAGAGTGAAAGATGACAATAAAGTGATAAATGGAAGAGGAAATTCAGATTTCAGGCAAGGTCTTGCTCTGGATGGTTAGAAGAGGTGGAGGAAAACAGATGTGGATGCAGTTGTTTTAAGTCAAAGTTTACACTTGAGGCTCAAAACCTCAAGTAATTCTAGAACACATTCACATGTTATAGATATCCTCTATGCCCCAATTGTTGCATCTCTTACCATCCCAATTAGGCATTATGCCCAATTAGGCATTCCTTACGCCCACTGAAGAAGTCAACAACCCAAAATAACCATCAGCCTGCCTGGCTTATTTTCTGTTAGCCATTCCCATATGCAGCCACACTCCCTGCACTGAGAGGGCAGGGCATTTTGACATCATGACAGCATTTAATTGCTTTGATGTTGGTTAATCACTCCAGATACAGCAAGAGGAACATTTCTAAGTTGTACTTGCTGAAGTAGAATATGTATGCTGGGATGGACCAGTGACAAAACAAAGGGCTGTAGAGAACACTGAAAGGTGCTCCTTTCACTTCATCTCTATTGATCCAAGGGTCAATACTCTGCCTACCATGTACAGTTACCACAGCCGTTGTCTGCTGATGTCCAGAGTCGCAGGTATACCTTCCTGAATCGTCCGGCTCTAAGTCATAAATGACCAATTCAGCACTGGTGCCCTGCTGCTTCATCTCATATTTCAAACCAGGGTAGAGTGTAATGTCTCCTTTCCTCCACTCTACTGGAGCCTTGGGTTTGGTAAGCTCACACCTCAGTGTTGCTGTACCACCTTCTTCTGCTTCAGTATTATGAAGCTCTTGTTTAAAAAGTGCTGGTAGGGCTATAAAATAGAAACATAACTTGCAACATACTGCAGCTGGGGTTTGGGAAAGAGAGTAGAAAGAAAATTAAAGCACCAGAAGAGCTTTTTTGCAGATGTCTCTAAACCTCATTGCTCTAGATTCAAAGTACAAGGCTATTTCCCCAGAGAAGTAATAGAAATATCTGCAGAACAAGAAAAAAAATATTTCAAGAAGTTACACTTGCCATGAAGTATGCTGAAGCTTAATCTAAACTATGATCTAAAAATGACAGAATATTTTTCCTACTGTGAAAGTAGCCAACATGTTGCCCTGATCACTGAAGAGGTATTCTGAAGATCAGCAGGGAGTTGTAAGAGTTCAGATTCCCTCTTAAGGCAGAACACTTGGAGGAGAGATTGCAGCTATCCTGACAGTAACACACTGTCAAAAGGCATTTAGTTCTGCATTGCAATTCCCATTTTCTACCTGGTCACTCTATTAGGCTGTATAGACCATGCCACTCTCCTCACATTATGAGCTGTAGTCAGCCATTCTCCATAAGTAACACTAAACCACAGTAGTTATTTTCAGAAAATATTATAACCTTTTTTTTTTTTTTTTACCATTGACTGTCAAAGTGGCAGTTGTCTGCTGATCTCCACACACACAGGTATAATCTCCAGTGTCCTCCACATCCAGCGCATGGATAATCAGCTTTGCAACAGCACCATCTTGACACATTTTATACTTGCTGCTTGCTTTGAGCACCTCTTGCCCTTTCTTCCACTCCACCACACCAGGTTTAGTCAGCTCGCAGTGCAGAGCAGCTGTCCCATTTTCTACAGCTTCGAGGTCCTTCAGGTCTTTTTTGAATTCTGGAGGCAGTGCTGAAAAGAGTTACCATCGAGAGTGAATATTCCTTAAAAATCAGCTAAATGAGGTCCTTGGGGAGATGATACACAGTACGCTACCAAGCCCTGATCCAGGTCAGTGGAACACAATGGAAAAATCTCCCCTGGCTTCCCTGGACACTGCATCAGGGCAAGGAATGTGAGAGAAACCAGCATAGCTGAGGAGGACAAACACCAACAGGCAACTCTTCTCCCAATTCTAACACAAGAAGGAAGCATTTATATAAGCAAAGTCCAAAGGAACACAAAAGCCCAAGCAAACAAAGGGAATGAGAACACACCATAGCAATAGAGACTTGGACAGGTCTAAGGAGGTCTAAGGAGGGCCTTAGTCCAAAGGATTACTTTACCATGCACAGTTAAGGCAGCTGTGGTGGTCTTGTCTCCACACACACAGGTATAATCTCCAGTATCATTCAAGTCTAAATCGTGAACTACCAACTCCACAATACAGCCTTCCTGTCTCCTGCTGTACTTCTTGTCCGAGGTGAGGACGTGATGGCCCTTCTTCCACTGAACATGGGCAGATGCCTTGCTGAGCTCACAGTGAAAAGTGGCCATTCCACCTTCTACTGCTTCCTTGCTGGTCATTTCTTCTTGGAAAAATGGAGGCACAGCTGAAGGACGCAGGTAAGAACTATTACAAACTGAGGGTATCTCCAGGGATGGGTCAGAGTAGGAAGTGACAGGGGAAGGATGTTAAAGTTAAGGACAGGTGAGCATCAGCAACAGAAAATATAAATAAAAACACCCTAATGGGAACATATACCCTAATCCTTTTGGTTCTATGCTGGCTTCCTACTAGCAAAATTGCACTGTCCTCAGGAGATTTACACCTGCTTTCTACTAGTTTCCATGTAAGAAAAACTAAGAATATAATCTCTGAGCTCCTTAGTTCACACGTGTTGGTGTCTTCCACAATACTTATGCCTTTGTACTCTCTTTTCCCACTTACAGGGCAGCCCTGCTGAGCTGAGTGTTGGCACAGCTCTTTACTCACCATAGTTCTTTCTTCCTTGAGATACCCTTGAAAAGATGCAGCCAGGGCTCACAGATTCTTCTTGACTCCAAAGAGAATCTCCCACTGTTGAATCCCAGCCTGTCCTCTTATCTCAGAACATATCTTCCCCACTCAACCTAATTCTAGTACCCATAGCAAGTTGTGTCCTTGAAATAAATTTGGTGACCTTCACCTATGTTCCTCTATCAACTAGATGGGATAACGGGATATTATGGGATATCTCGGATCTCAGACTTAGTGTCTCACTCCATAGTAATTCAGCTAAGTTAAAATATCCAGTCTAGAAACCAGGTTTAGCCTCCTCGATTTGGCACATTTCCCATCTCCAGCATTGTTAAGCTGAACCACCAGTTTTGTTTGCACAGCAAATGGTTCTTACAACAAAATAAGACCAGAAGGAGGTCACATGAAAAATTTATTCTTTCCTGCTTAGAAAATCAGTCTCCCAGTGCAAATCTATCTTTGTACATTAGGACAGAGGCTGTGGCCACAAAACCCAATATAAACGTAACTCTGTACAGAAGAAATTATAACTAACACAGCTTCATTCTGGATGCTGCTCTTCATACCCCGTACTACATTAAAATGGTAGGTATTGGGAATGCCAGAAAGGAATGGCAAAGAAGAAGAAGATTTGTGTTTTAGAGAAATGCAGGAAAGGAAATACAAAAGAATAGTGGGTTTATATGCTAGGAAAGGAATGCCAGAAGGAAAAGATGAAAGGATAGCAGGTAGGTGTTTAAGGAAAGGAAAAGACAAAAGGATGGCACAGAAAAATGTAGACTAGTATTTTCCAATATACACAGCTTGCAAGTCATCGAAGGCAGGGCATAATTTCAAATGAATGGAACGTCAGTTAATGAGGTTGAACAGACATGGAAAATTGAACACCTGACAGTAGAGGACAGAGGTTTGCAGTTAGGAAATAGAAGGTCAAGACAGTTTTTACCCTGTACTGTTAAGACAGCTGTAGTCTGCTGCTCTCCACACACACAGGTGTAGTGTCCTGCATCCTCCTCAGCTATTTCATGAATCACCAGCTCTGCCTTGCTCCCTTCCTGCCTCATCTTGTATTTCTCACTCTCTTTGAGAATCTTCTGGTCCTTCTGCCATTCCACCTGAGCAGCCTTGGTGAGCTCACAGTGCAGGACCACCTCTCCACCTTCTTCTGCTTCCTTGTTCTTTAGCTCTTCTGTGAAGAGCGGTGGCAGAGCTGAAGGATGCAACATGAACAAATGGTCATCAGAAAAAACAGAATTTTTTTTTTTTTTAATGCTTGGATTATTTCCCCTCATGCCTTCTTTTTTTCAGCCTATTATAGACATGCTTAGCTATGCCCAAGTTCAAAAACTCTGTTGTTTCTCATGGTGAAAGAACAGTACAGGAAGATCTTGAGTTGACAGCACTCACAAATAACACTGCTGGATACAGTACTGTTTCACCTACACAAGTATGATACCTTGGAGGCTGGTATTGTTATTTTCTGTTTTGTTTTTCCTAAAAACTTATAGCCCCATCTACCTGAAAACAGTCATATTTCAAAATAAAACTACTAATATTAAAATGAAGTTTGAGGGGCCATAATATATAGTAAGAATTACAGATTCTTACTATTGCCCATTTTGGAAATCATAACCCAAAGACAGTAACCTATACGAAAACTAATTATTAATATTTAACCACAAATGTGCCTTGTGCACAACTATTGTTAGTACAGAATACAAATAGTACTCCTCAAATGTCTCAGCAAAGCCCGAGGAGAGTCAGAAGTTCTTGGGAAAAAAGCTGGAGGGGACCTAACTGGGTCTCTTTGACCAATTAAGTTCCTCAGACCCAAGGACTGGTATTCCATTAAAACAGATACTCATTAATGAGGAGAGCAAAACATAAGGTAATGAAATTATTAATGTAACACAAGGGTTTATTTCTGGATTGGTTTATTGGGAGCTGGTAGGATAAAGAAGAGTATAACTGCTGATAACCTCTGTTGTTGGAGGTTTTTAATACCTAATTGTCAAGGCAGACCTGATCCCACACACAGAGAGGTACAGACCCCTGCATCCTTTAAACCTAAGTAACAAGCTCTGGAATGGTATCTTATCTCATTCTGCATGTCTGACTTGCTTAAAGAATCTGGTACCCCCAGGAGTAGCCATGGCACGTCACCCAGCAGATGACATCTCCCCCTCCTGCTGCTGCCCCAACCCTCACTTCTCCTTTGAACAGTGCTTGGAGAGCAGAAAGGCCTGACAGACCATACATGTATGTTTTGGAGAAAACTGTGGTTGACTGAAGTGAACCATGGGGATGAGGGGAGGAAAAGAGCTGGAAAACGTCTATGTCCAAGAAGAGGAGACTTGGATAGCAATAAACATCTGATTTTCTCCCTTGAAAGGGGGGCAGATAAATAATGACCCAAAAATTTGCCCTGAGCTATTCTTTCTCAGTAAGAAATGAGCTATACATAGAATGGAGGAAGAAAAAGGGATAAAATCAAACACAAGTTACTGACCCATGGCAGAAACAGCTGAATTTCAGAGTGATGTCTATCTATAAAGCTATTTATCAATTTTATTAAGGTCTTTTTACCATGAACTGTTAAGGTTGCTGTTGTCTTTTGGTCACCACACACACAGGTGTAATCTCCAGCATCTTTTATGTCTAGGTCATGAATGACCAGCTCTGCAATGGTGCCACGCTGTCTCATTTGATATCTGTCACTTGCTTTGAGCACTTTAGACCCTATTTGCCACTGAACTGGAGCTTCTTTGGTTAATTCACAACGCAGAGAGACTGATGTTCCTTCTTGGGCTTCTTCATTCTTCAGTTCTTTCTCGAAAAGCACCGGCAGGGCTGGGAATGGAAAGCCAATAGATAGCATATTTAAACTAAGACCATTGCATTTGTGATCAGCATCATGAACTCTCAACTGAAGTTCAAATCTGACCAATTCAGGGTGTTTGGCCATTGAGATTGAAGTTATCACTGTAATGACCTGGAAAACTAAATCCAGCAGTGACAATAAGAGAAGAAGTGTTGGAGCTGACAGGTCAAAGTACAACAGGATGGATGGATTTAAAATGCAATCTAAAGAATTTATCACAAGCCCACCCCTCCAGGGGTGCAGGACATCTCAGCTGGTCTAACAGGAGCATTTCCTAGGCACCATTTCCTTAAATATACAACATAGCAGTTTGACTACGTGGAGAAATATTCATCTCAGCTCCCTCTTCAGGAATATCAGAGCAAAATTAAATGCCAGAACAAGAAGTTTTCCTTTCCTGAACTCAAACTAGTTCCTAGGAAAAAGACGATACGTAAACACTTTGTACAGCAACAGGGTGTTTCAGAGAAACAAAAAATGAACAGTTATCTGCAAGATGAATTTACCATTCACTGTCAGAGAAGCCGTGGTTTGTTGGTCTCCACACACACAGGTGTAATATCCTGCATCCTGCATATCTAGGTCACAAATTTCCAGCTCAACAAGGGCATTATCCTGCCGCATGATGTATTTTTGATTTGCCCTGAGTATTTTGTTTTCTTTTTTCCATGACACAGCTGCAGCCTTGGTCAGCTCACAGCACAGAGTGGCTGTTTGGCTTTCCATGGCTTGAAGGTCCTTCAGTTCTTCTTTGAAAAGTGCAGGCAGAGCTGAAGGTCACAAAACAGACAGAGGACATTAAAAATGACACGTGGCACAAAGGTGATGGGAAAGATGGGGTGGTACAGAGGCAGAGAACATTTTAGGGTGGAAAGAGTTTCCTTTCCTCATAATTCTGGAACAATGGACAAACAATAGACAGAAACAAAAAAGCAGCCTGGATGCAACCAGTCTTAGAGACAGCTTACAAATTTAAAGAAACAAATTCAGCCACAGGTGAACACACAATCAATAGCTGGTAGAGAAAAACACAGTAATACAGATATAGGCATATGGTTTTTACCATGCACTATCAAGGCAGCTGTTGTCTCCTGTTCTCCACACACACAAGTGTATTCTCCAGCATCTTTCAATTCTACGTCATGGATAAGCAGCTTCATGATTGTGCCTTCCTGTCTCATTTTGTATTTGTCGCTGATTTTGAGCAAACTGCTTCCCTTTCTCCACTCTACTTGAGCAACCTTGGTCAGCTCACAGCACAGAGTGGCTGCTTGACCTTCTGTTACCTCCTCATCCTTCAGGCTCTCCTTGATGCGTGCAGGCAGTGCTGAGGATGCAATGGACAGAGGGTTAACATGGAGCAGCAAACAGCCTCCTGGTGAATGGCAGAGGTGGGGGAAGGAAAGGCGAGGTCACCAGTGCAGAGCTGTCTTTGGGCCTGATCTCACATCTGTTTGAGAGATCAGGTCCTACAACCACTTTGTATTAGGAAATGAGATGAAGGTTCTCCCTCAAATCACAAAATGCAAATTAATTCTCATGACTATGACATGCAAAGCCAGACTCAGAGGAAATATGCAGAGATAATAAAGGAAAAATATTAATTCAAACCAGAAGCTCGATAATAAGAATTTCTAGATGAAATTGGTTATTACCATGTACTGCTAAGGAAGCTGTGGACTGCTTATCCCCACACACACAGGTATAATCACCAGCATCATTCTCATTTAGATTATGGATCACCAGTTCTGCAGTGACATCCTTCTGTTTCATCTTGTATTTCTCGCTAGGTTTGAGTACTGTGTGTCCCTTTTTCCACTCCACTGAAGCAGCCTTGGTCAGCTCACAGCGCAGAGTCACTGCTTCACCCTCTGTGGCTTTCTCATTTCTTAACTCTTCTTTGAAGAGAGCAGGAAGGGCTGAGAAACAAAGGAGCAAACATTTTCATGATATGCAGTTCTTGGCCACTGTCCCGGTTTCAGCTGGGATAGAGTTAATTTTCTTCCTATAGCTGGTATAGCGCTATGTTTTCAATTTAGTATGAAAATAATGTTGATAACATACTGATGTTTTAAGCACTACTTAGCAACAAGTCAAGGACTTTTCAGCTTATCATGCCCTGATAACGAGAAGGCTGGAGTGGCACAAGAAGTTGGGAGGGGACAAAGCTGGGACAGCTGAACCCAACTGACCAAGTAGATATTCCATACCATATGACATGTCCAATATATAAAATGGAGGGAAAGCCAGGGACCACTGCTCAGGAACTGTCTGGGCATCAGTCCGTGAGCTGTGAGCAATTGCAGTGTGCATCACTTATTTTGTAAAGTCTAATTATTTTATTATTTTCTTCCTTTTCTGTCCTATTAAACTGTCTTTATCTCAAACCATGAGTTTTACTTTTTTTTTCCAGTTGTCTCCCCCATCCCACTGGGTGGGGGCAGTGAGAAAGCAACTGTGTGGTGCTTAGTTGCTGGCTGGGATTAAACTAAGACAGTCACCAGAGAACTAAACCAGTATCTATCCATGCCTAGTTATTGACATGAGGATCATCTCACAGAAGGAAGATAATAATTTGTATCATAACCACAAGAGGGTCTCAAACAGTGGGTAAATGTGCTGATTGGTTTAGAGACATATGGAGAATAAACAGCAGGAATGGGAAAACTTCATGTATGGTCAAAACTGTAACTTTCTCAGTGTAATTCAGCCCAGGAAAAGTGATAAAGCAGGTTACACAATGATCAGGGAAAAAAGCTAAAGAAAAAAAAAAAGGCTTTACCTTATGTGTTAAGGATGCCTACAGACCTAGACTGAGAGTTAGAGTGATGGTGAAGAGCAAAATCAGAGAACTCTTGAAAGAACTTGGGTAACAAAAAATGGAAAAAGAAGGACGATGTCTCCATTGAAGAAATCTGCTATAAGACCTTCACACCATGAAATACAGGTGTATCCTAACACCCTGTCCCTTTTGGAACAACCAGTAGAATCATTCAGACTGGCTGGTAACATGGTAACATGCACTGTGGAAACAATAGGATGGGACAGTGTCTGCTAAGTCTTTGGAATGGGGTGAAGATCAATTTTGGATATAGAATATGTATGAAAGAACAGAAGAGGACAAGTCCTGACTCTAACCAGCAAGAAATAAATATTTGAGAATACAGATGTGAAGGATAATGGAGCAGAAGCTCAAGGATTTGAGGACAAGTAATGATGGAGAGGAGCAAAAGGAAATTCTGTGGGAAACAAGAAAGCAAGCTTCAATAATTGCTACTTGTGATCAAACAGAAGCAAACTTAAAGAACAAGGTAATTTGAGAGAGCGGAAAACTCCTCAAAGATAGAATATTAAGGGCATAACTACACAGACTACCTCACTCCAAGGATTATCAGGTATATTCTGACTATATCACAATTCTTCAATGTCCTGAAACTCAAGAGACCTATAAAATACAGAAGGTTTAGATGAATGCAAAAGAAATACTACAGAATGTAGAGGCAAATCCGGAAAAGCTAAGTTCCCTGCATGTATCAAGAAAGTCAAGGGCAGTTCCCCATTCCTGGACTCTGTCCCTTCATTGACAAAGAGACCAACATGAAAGAGGGGCTGAAAGGTAATCTGTAAAATTATGCTGATATCAAATGTCTCCAGATACAACTGAATTCTGCAGCAACTGGGTGGCAAGATCGCTACTCCAGGAACTTTCCATGTTCTCCGCTCACAGTTCAACTTGTGGCTCCTTGCTGTATCAGAATTTTAGCATGCAAATCCCAGGAAATCTGGCCAGCCTGAGCTAGAAAGAAACAGAAATACTGTAATTACATTCTGTAAGTAGATTAGAGGGAAGAAAAACAACAAGGGAGAGGTTGGTCTACCTCTCTTTCAGAAATGTAAGTTGATGGTGAGTGACATGGGGAAAGCTGACATGTTTAATTCCTTGTTTTCTTTTCTTTAATATTAAATGTTAATAATAGCTAAGAAAGTAATAAGAATTCTAGATAGGATAAGAAAAAAAATGAGTATATGCATAAACTGAATATTCTCAAAGCACCTTGCTGTCATTAAATAATTTGTCCTGGAATGCTTAAGGTATAAGCTCCACCAATATCAGACATTAACAGTTACGCTGGAAAAATCAGAGAATGGGTGATGTTCCACACGTATAAAAAGAAATGGGAACTTAGAGGTGGAAATGGTCTCACAGACTGAAATACACGCATGTAGTTCTTACCATGTAAACCAAGACTCTAAGCTCACAGGACAGTCAAGAAAGATCCAGAGTCAAGAAAGCCACTGACATTGGAGCTACCTTCTGACCAAATGTAAATGTCTGCTAGAAAGGTGAATTGGATGGCTCCCTGGCTTCCATCGACTGTGTTGACTAGATCACTGACAGTATTAGGAACACTCACCAGTTCTGATCTACAAGCTGAATCCTGTTCACAGTGCTTGTCTTGGAAAAATGGGAAGTGGGAGACAGAGATAGGATCCAAGGGATTATGGCCATTTCAGCTTAACTTTAATTCTCTGAAAAATATTATAGCAATACACTTGGACTTGCCAGAAGCTGTTCTTTTCATGAATGAGTGGGTCAGTGTAATATTTCTTGGCATAGGTTAATAAGCTCCACTGATAAGGAGACACAGTATATTCTATATACTTTGATTTCAGTAAAGGTCTTACTTTAATTTTGGTATAGGTGGAACTATGGTGGGAAGCACTACTAATTTGAAAGCCACAGTCAAAGAATATTCAACTGTGATTTACACTCACAGTGAAAGTATGAGTTGAGCAGAGTGCCTCAGTACTCTGCAGTCCAGCATTTTCTTTAGTGACTTGAACAGTGAAATGCAGTTTTCATTAACTTTGCAGATGATCTCTAGATAGGAAGGGGGGGAAGCCAAAAGCACTTTGTTAAACAGGATTAGGATACAGAAGACCTTGATGAAGCGGTGGTGAAAAAAGTAGGTTACAGTTCACAAAAGCAGATGCAAAATAATATATTTAGGAACAATCAACAACACAAATATAAGATGGGGAATAATAGAGAGCAGATCTGCAGAGAGATATTTGGGGTTACAGGAGATTATGGAGCAAACGCAAGTCAAAAAAATGCAATTCTGATGTGAATAAAGCAAACATCATAATAGGGATGTATAAAATTAAGTGTCATATGCAAGAAACACGAAGTCCTTCCATCCTACTCCAGTCTGGCAAAGGCTCAGAGGGCGCACTGTAGTCTGCTTTTGGCCACCACACTTCTAGAAAGATGTGGATTAACAGAAGATGGTCCATAAAGCAACAAAGATGAGCTGAAGTCTAGAAAACATGACCTATGAAGAAAGAGTGAAAGGATTGAAGGTGCTTAGTCCAGAATAGAAGACAAAAAGGAGACAAGTTTTCAGATCTTTCACAGAGAGAAAATAGCAAATATTTCTCCATCTCTACAGGATATAGGATGAGAAGTAATGACTAAATGAGTTTGGGAAAGACTTTTGTTGAAATTAGGAAGAACTTTCTGGCAGTATTGATGGCTAGGCAGAGGAATGAATGTCCAGGGGAACTGCAAATTCTTCCTCACTGGAGTGAGGCTAGGTAGGGGTGTTGGTGACTTGTGGCCCAAGGATGGACTAGATGACCTGTCAAGGTCCTTTCCAATTCTTTTTTTCCATGGTTAAACTGGAAGTTCAAGACTGAAGCCATCCTTGGTTTATTGGTAAATATCAAGATGAAAAGGTCTGGGCAGTAAAGTGGACTCATTGACCTACTGACTTTTCAGGTGAGAAAGACAGCTGAAACAACTTCCTACTGTCCTATGTTAATTGTGGAAAGAAAGTTTCCCTCTCTTCCAAGGAAAGTTTGCAGATGAATTTGGCTGAAGACTATGAAGTACTATAGTGCTGAGTATTCTACAATACCAGAAAAGAAAACAAATCTACATCACCCTTGGTCAGAATTATATAGAAAAGTTAAACCGAGTCAAGTTTTGTTTGCATTATCTAATGTTATCTGTCAAATCCTAATGTAACTTGAAATCTAAGATCTCTCTTAGGATGAATGTTCCTACTACCCCATCTCTCTACGCTCAAGTCCAAAGTAGGTGAAACAGAACAAAAAACACAAGCATGTGGCATGCTTCAGCCTTCAGTGTGGTGCAGAGCAGTATAGCTGTGCGCCACAAGAGCAAGGAGAAGAAAAGAGGGAAAACATTAGTACAATCCATGGAACTACAGTTCTAGTCGGAATTAAAATAAAAAAATCACTATAAAAAGGGGAAAATCCATTACTGACAGAATTAATGATGGCAAGATTAGAGAAAGAACTCATCGTGTGTCAGTACTGAGGCTTCCAGAGGAGACAGGAGACACGTCACACAAAAAATTATTTCTGTTTTCTTACCATGCACTGTCAGTGCTGCCGTAGTCTTCTCACCTCCACACACACAGGTATACTCCCCAGCATCCTTGACTTCTAAAGCATGGATCAGCAGTTGTGCTGTAGTACCTTCCTGTCTCATAGTATATTTTTCACTTGATTTGAGCACTTTGTGTTTCTTTTTCCACTCCACAGAGGCAGACCTAGATAGCTCACATTGTAGGGTGACTGTTCCACCTTCTGTGGCTTCTTCGTTCTTCATCTCTTTCTTGAAGTGTGCTGGCAAGGCTGAGGAGTTCAAAATGAGCAGAATGTATGACCATGACAGCTATCCAAGTAACTATTTATCTGTGCTCTGTCAACCACCCGTGACAAGCAAAGCCTTCCCTAATCAAATGGGATTGGTAACCACTCTGGAGAACACGTTCTTAAGTCAGAGCTTTTTTTATGGTATGGTCCATGGCATGAAATGGAGAACCACACCAGTCTCAGCTTCAGACTCTGCCAGACTGAGCCCTACCTTACTTCAGGTATTGCCTGGTACAACGGAAAATAAAGCCCAACTCTAGTGTATAAGTTTTACCACAGTGCAAATTATTAGTGAAAAAGTTGATAAATGAAACTATATCTGAGTCATCAATCTCACTTTCCTACGAGATCTCTCCTCGGATAATGGTCTAGCAGAAATTGACTGTCACAATATTCTGACACACTAAAACTACATCAAAAATATCTCGCAATCAAATCGTAATACTCTTAACTGTAGGATTGCTATGTCTTTACAACTAACGTTACAACAATAAGATTTTCCTTTTTTAGCAACCTCTACTGAACATGAGCATCAAAGTAGTAAGTTGGAACCAAGAAGAATATCTGAAATATTTGCAGTGAACACCCGATCAGCGCCTGATACTGACCAGTGTATTCAAATATTTATGCCCACGTCCAATCACATGTTGCTAATTTTATCAGAAACGGGGCTGCAATTTCAAAGCTGATACTACCATACGCTTAAACAACAAGTGGTTGAAAATAATCCACTTAATTTGATTTTTTTTTTTTTTTTTTTACCATTCACTTTCAGTGCAGCAGTAGTTTTCTCATCTCCGTAACAACACGTGTAATCTCCAGCATCTGTCAGATCTAAATCACAGATCACCAGCTCAGCAGTTGTGCCCTCACATCTCATAGTGAACTTCTCACTTGTCTCCAGGGCTCTGTCTCCTTTTCTCCATTCCACGGCAGCTGCAGGCTTGTTCAGTTCACAGCAGAAAGTGGCTGTGCCATTTTCTGTGGCTTCCACGTTCTTCAACTCTTTTTTAAAATACGGAGGAAGGGCTGAAGACCACAGATTAAGAGAGACCACTTTAAAATGGAGGAAATACTGAATCTTGACTTCTCCACTGGATTAAAACCCTTTCATCTCCAAAAGTTTTAGAATATATGGTACCTGAGAAGCAAATTAAGGATTTCGGGGTATCCTGCCTTATGCTTTGCAACTCTCCACCTTCAGCATGTCACAGCTGACTTGGAAATCAGTGTTGTAAAACTATAATTCCAGTACAGAAAGGTATGCTTTAAAGGCAGTTTAAGATACAGCAACAGAAAGCTAATTTCAAGGAACTATGCACAGCTCTATCTTAAGATCAGATGATCAGTTTAGAGCAATTTAAATGAACACTATGTTATTTAAAATTCCAGGCTGCAGTGCACCATTCTCACCTCCCTCTCTTAGTTGTTATAATAACAGAGCATGTTTCAATTCCATTCAAGAAAACAAGTAAAATGAGTGAAATCTCAGTGATATGCCTAGAGAAATTAATTAATGGAAATGCTGAAAGCGCTATTTATGACTTTACTGAGGTCTTCGTTATCTGCTTCCAGACTCCATTAACATGAAAGAACAGGGACAGAAAAGACTGTCTAGTGCTATTTCTCAGTCTTAAGAGAAGGACTTTCAGTAAAAAATATTCCCAGTGATTGATACAGCTGTCACACCCACTTAAAAATAATAGATGGGATTAAGATGAGTTTGTGATCCTACATAAGATCACAGATGACAAAGGAGAAAATCCCTATTAAACTTATGTATTTTACCATGCACTGTCAGGGATGCAGTAGTCATCTTGTCTCCACACACGCATGTGTAATCTCCTGCATCTTGTTCCTCCAGGCTATGGACTGTCAGCTCAGCAATGGTATCCTTCAGTCTCATTTTGTACTTGTCGCTAGGCTTGAGCACCTTTTGCCCTTTCCTCCACTCCACCGGAGTGGGTTTAGTTAGCTCACACTGCAGAACAGCCGTCCCGTTTTCTGTGGCTTCCATATTGACAAGTTCTTTTTTGAACAGTGCAGGCAAAGCTATGGGATGTAATATAAACAGAGAGGACATCAAAACCATTAACCAGACCTTGAGGAACTTAGGACTAGGTCCTGAGGGTAGTCCTTCCCTATTAGAGGAAAACAAATTATACAGTCTTGAAAACTGGATCTATTAGAAAACTACTGCAGGATCTCACAGGGGTAACTGCTGCCATGACCTGCTTCTAACATTGACTTAGGGAGCATGCTCAACGCTTCCCAGCTGACTCCAGTAGTCCTCTCTACCTATCCCAGTCTGAAATCATCTACCTTGAACATTAATGACCTGAATTTTGATTGAAAGTCATCTCCCCACGTGACAGCACTGCTAGCTGGAGACCTCTGCCTTTCCTGAAAAAAAAAAAAAAAAAAAAAAAAAAGTAATATAACTTCGGGTGCATCTTTAAGCCCCAATTTCCAAGGTCATAATGGCTCTAATATCAAGAATACAGAGGGTTTTTTAGCAGCATTCAACAAGTTGCCTTGTGGTGTGCCACTATAGTAGAAAGGAAGCAACTTGCACAGGGAAGAAAGTGCCAGCTCAGAGGAGGGGAGGAACAGAGGTACTTCCAGCTGGGAGAAAGAAGAGGAAGTAAAAGTATGCAGAAAATCTGAGAGAAAAGAGTTTTGCCTCCATAGCTTTGTCCCTGTCCTTAGAAGCATCTTATCCTTAAGATATATCTCCAATAAAAACTATTATTTCATCTATTGGAACTGTATGTGAAATCTGCTTCTGGAGGGGCAACCAAAGCTCATTGCTATTCATCATGGCAGAGACAGGAACAAAATCCGTCTCACTACTCCCTAAATTAGGGCCTGGTTTGGAGATATTTTTTTGGAAAGTACCATTTCCTCAGCAGAATATATCACAAAAGAGGAAGACAGTCATTTATTCCTGAATGGAAAAACCTCTCACCGAGTTCAGCATTTTTAAAGAACTATCCTTCAAGTTAAGCACCGAAATCCACTGACATCAGTGAGACACCAGGACAAACCCTTTGAGAATAATCTTTCTGCTAGAGGTCTTCTCACTCTTGACCTTACATACAGGTACATTTTTCACTTCTAAAAAGTGAAGACCAAGATGAGAAATTCTCACAACTCTACTTTGCTATAAAGCCACCAGTTTCAAACTAACAGACAGTGGGAGATGGGACGAAAGTCAGCCAGTCGACCAAGAAAATGCTGCAGAATCAAAACATCAAAGCAAGTGGGAAGGGAACTTCTCAGAGAAAAGGGATCTTCTTGAGGTACTGCTATCATAACAGAGAATGGCTTTTTACCATGGACTGTCAAGACAGCCGAGGTCTTCTGGTCTCCACATACACAGGTATATTCTCCTGTATCTTCTACCTCCAGATCTCGGATCAACAGCTCTGCAGCAGTATCTTCTTGTCTCATCCTATACTTATCACTTGGTTTGAGTGTCTTGTCCCCTTTTTTCCACTCCACCAGGACACCGACCTTGCTGAGCTCGCAGTGCAGAGTGGCTGTGGCACCATCTGTGGCTTCTCTGTTCTTCAATCCTTCTTTGAAAAATGCAGGTAAAGCTGAAGGACAGCAATACGAGCAGTGAGATGCAATGCTCCAAAGAATTAAAATTAAACACTGATGTTTAATTTTCCATTTCCCTCTTATCTTGAGCTGATCTATCAATACAAAAACATAGATTCTGAGCTGTATCCATGAATCAGTATGAAGAAAGAAGCATCATCACCAGGAAAGGATTCAATGATTGCAGTAATCCATAGAGGTATTTTACATGTACTCAGAGTCAAAAATCGATACAAATAGAAGTAGAAAACCCAATTTTTTCCTGTGAAATTTCAAGCAAAAAGAATAGATACTAATTTGAAATTTCTGGAAAAAAAAAATTGGTTTTCTTATATGACTGTTTAAACCATAATGGGAAGATGTTTGCTATGTTTTCACATACTTAAACAAACAAAAAGACATTGTACGTTTTAAAAAAAAAAAAAAAAAAAAGAAACACCAGAGTTTCATTCTAAATGTCAGTTTGAAATGAACAACTTCATTTCCATATATGGTGGGAAAACAAGAAACAAGCATTTTCACCTGAACTGACATATCCTTTCAAACATGTCAGTTGTAATAAAAATCAAAGTTCACCTTAGGTTTGGGCTTGCTTTAGACAGGACAGTAACTCAATGCAATGACAACTGGCCTGTATGTATGAAAGCACCCCGTTGTTCCAGAAATGGAGTATGGGAATAAGATTCCAGGGAATAACCTAACCTTTAGGAATTTTATGAAACCTTAAAATCCCTAAATCATAATCCCTTTGAGACAACCCATTTTAATGGGCATAATGAGGAGACTAACAAAGGAACTTTCAAGGGAAAAAAAAATGATGGACCCTAGTTTAAATGGTAGCAGCAATCCTGGCTGCCTATACTCTGAGCTTACACGCTGACACCCTCCTTGTGCCACGGACCCCAGCTGCACAGACATCAATGGAAACGCTCACTGGCATCAGTGAGCTGTGGGTAAGGGTCTGGCAGAAGGAGGGAAGTGGTAGGGTAAGCATGTATCTCTCCAAATGAATAGTGAAAACAGGATAGTTACTTTTAGTACATGTCTTGTTTTGTTTGTTTTACCATGTACTGTTAAAACTGCCATAGTCTGCTGGTCTCCGCACACACAGGAATAAGTTCCAGCATCCGTTGTGTCTAGATTTTGGATTATAAGCTCAGCAACAGCACCGTCACGTTTCATTTTGTATTTGTCGCTTGATTTGAGGGTCTTGAATCCCTTCTTCCACTCCACGTTAGCAGCAGCCTTATTCAGCTCACAGTGCAGAGAGACACTTTTACCTTCTGTGGCTTCTTCATCTGTCAGTTCTTTGGTGAAAAGAGCAGGCAGGACTGCAGAGTAAATGCAACACGGACACAGCATCAAAGCTGAGAAAGCCTGACCCACGATCTACTTGCTCTCTTACCTCCCTGAACCTGCATCACACTGAAGCCACAAGACCTCCTTCACACTCCAGGACTTTGTTCCAATCTCTAACATTTCAAAAGAGACTTCAGTCTCATCTTCAACTTTTTGTCCTTACAACTTCAAAACTTGCTTTAAAAGCAAGTCTGTCTATTTGCAAACTTAGGTGACAAGCCATCTATCCTTCACTTTATACACCATAAATTTAAAGGGGCAAAACTAGAGGCCGTATTTCAATATGAGACCCAGAGCATTTTGTTTCCCTGGAGAAAAACAGCAGCTCTTCAGAAGTGCATGATTCATGGCACCATCTGTATTTTTATAGAGTTCCTTAAAACGGAGCAGTTACAAACATGCTGTCAGCTTTCTGCAGAGATAAAGTATATGCCTTGAAAGAGTTAAGCCAAAATTGGTGAAAAAGATCTGGGAATAGCAGGAGCATAATAAAAGCTATTTTTCATTAAGGTAGTCCTTGGCAAAAACTTGTTCCTCTTAGGAGCAACAAGAGTAACAGTCCAAGTTACAAAAAGAAAATATTATTCCCACTTTTACATCAGTCCCTGTGTGAAAACTTTTAAACAAGCAGCTATACTGGACTAGGGAGATTGTGTTGAGTTGGAGACTTGTACTCCACTTGTCATTTAAACATAGCGTCTAGGAAGACAAATAGCACATCAAGAGGGCACCGGGTGAAAGAAGAGAGAGAGAAGGAAAGCAGGATAGAAAAAATAATCAGGAGGAGGGATAGAAAGTATATGGGGACCAAGTGAAACAGGAGAAAAAGAGGAAGAGATCTTGGAATTATCGAGGTTTGCTTGGGACACATGCTGAGAATTTCTTTTTACCATTTACTGTCAAAGCAGCTGTAGTCTGTTGATCTCCGCATACACAGCTGTAATTGCCAGCATCCGCCAAATCCAAATCCCGGATCATCAGCTCTGCGAAGGGACCTTCCTGCTCTATTTTGTATTTTTCACTTGGCTTGAGGACCTTATTCCCTTTTCTCCACTCGACTGGGGCCGATTTGCTCAGTTTACAATGCAAAGTGACCGCCTCCCCCTCTGTAGCTTCCTTGTTCAATACTTCTTCTTGGAAGAGGATAGGCAAGGCTGAAGGATGCAATACCAACAGAGAAGGGATCAGCACTAGATCAAAATGAACTGGACTCTGCTGTGAGTTACTGGGCCAGTGTATACATTTAACCCAAAAAGCTCTACTGCTAGGTGGATACAGTTGAAAGGGGGGTAAAAAACCTCCTACGGTAGAGAGAAATAAATTTGATAAAACAATATACAATATAGCTGTGCCATCTCAAAGTAAAAAAAGCGTAAGGGAATATTCTCTAATAGGGTGACTCTTTGGTACCACAGAGGTGAGAGCATGAAACCTCTAAGAAATCACACCGACCAAGCTTCACATGAGCAGAAAATGCTGTTAAGCGTGCTAAGTCTAGGGTTTAATGGAAAACATGAGTAGAAGGGTTACCATTCACTCTCAAAGCAGCTGTTGTCTTCTGGTTTCCACACACGCAGGTATAGCTCCCAGCATCAGTCAAGTCTAGGTCTTGAATAACCAGCTCAACAAAACGCCCTTCCTGTCTCATTTTGTATTTGCCATTTGGCATCAGCACCTTCCCATCCTTCCTCCACTCGACTGAGTCCACAGCCTGGCTCAGCTCGCACTGCAGCGTGGCCGTCCCGCTCTCGGTGGCTTCCTCGTTCTTCAACTCTTTTTTGAAACGGATTGGCAGGGCTGAGAGATGCAGAATGAAAAGGGATTGCAACCCAAGGCCCTGCCCAGATCTCTGGTCAGAGGTTGAATCATGTTTTATCATATGACTACCTAAGCCTTATTCTAACACCCTCATCCTTAAACACATTCTGCTTTTATTTTTGTGGCTGGTAAAAAACAAAATCTCTAGTAAATTGTTCTGTGGGAATCAAAGCATGCCGATCGTTATTGAGGTCATGCATACAAATGACAAACTCATCCTCATTAAAGGTGATGAACTTTCCTTAAAAGAAAACCCCAAGGAATCTTACATTTCCATACTAATTCAGGAAAACATACATGTCAGCACCCTTTACTTGAGGAAAGGTGAGAAAACAACACAACACACACACACACACACACCATTGGGCATAATGAACACTGATCATGGATGGAGATCAGGGAAAGGAGTGACATGGGAACATGAAAAAGTCGAAGGATGAAAAAAGTAGAAGCAGGACATAAAGGTAGATACTGCAAGGGAATATACAGAAAGGAGGAGGGAAGAGATCGACAAAAAACATTCCAGAGTTTCAAGGGTTATTTCTGACGTTTTACCATTCACTGATAAGGCTGCTGTGGTTTTTTGATTCCCCACTACACATGTATAGTTGCCAGCGTCCTTTGGGTCTAGGTCATGGATCAGCAGCTCAGCCACCGTGCCCTCCTGCCTCATCCTGTACTTGTTACTCGGCCGGAGAAGAGTGTGGCCCTTCCTCCACTCCACGGGGGCCTCTCTGCTCAGCTGGCATCGCAGGGTGGCTGTCCCACCTTCCACAGCTTCTACGTTCTTCAACTCTTCTCTGATGAGCACAGAGACAGCTGAGGAAGGAAGCATTCTCATTTTAATTTAAGAGCATCATTACCAACCTGGTGACCTTATATGGGACTTAAAACCAAAACAACTTCTCTTGGCACAGCTAATAAGCTCTGACCTACCTGCGCTTTTAGGACTATTTGTATTTACGATAGCGTATCATGGGTTTGGGAGGGAATAAAACCAAAACATTTATTTCCCAATAATTAGAATATCAAGGTAATTACCCTTCTGCTGCCCAAATGCTGATGGTCACAGATGCATGAAAAACTTGCTGAGAAAGTGCAGAAGAGAATTGCATATTCTTTAACAGAATGTGTACCTGAGGCCCTTCTTACCTTCCAGTTTAGAGCTCACGCAAGCACCTCTGTCCAGAGCAGAAAGCAGAAGAGTTATTTCAGGGGCAAGGAAAGATATGTTATCAGGTATATTTGATCGCTATGTTTTAGCATGAAGTTATTGTCCTAAAAACAGAGAACATAATGGACCCAGCCAGAGCTGCCTTTTGTTTGTACTGATCCCTTTTTCTCTGAGCGTTCACTATAAATGTGCAGGAGCTAGCAGGACCACGGCAAGAACAACAAATCGTCACAACCAAGTGTCTTGTTCCTACCATGGATTTTGACTTGGGCTGTGGTCTGCTGCTCTCCAGTGTCACAGGTGTATCTTCCTGCATCTCCCAGCTCTGCATTATGTATCACCAGTTCTGCCACTGTCCCCTTCTGCTTCATTTCATATTTGTCACTTGCCCGGAGCGTGACTTCTCCCTTCTTCCACATCACAGTGGCATCAGCTTTTGTGAGTTCGCAGCGCATGGAGACAGATTTCCCCTCTTCTATTTCCATATTCTCCAGGGCTTGTTTGAAAAGGACAGGCACAGCTAGAACACAGAACCAGGGAATAGGACATTCTCTCTTGACCTGCTGTACAACAAGTGCCCCACGAGAGCTGTCACCTCTCAAAACCAGTCCTTTTCCAAAGGAGCAGAACATTCTAGACCCTCCCTTGGCTGTGTGGCATCAAAGTGATTCTGCTTGGGAGCAGGAAGAAATCTCTCTCCCAGGTGTTATCATCTGTCCACGGCTCCCTAGGAGTATGGTGGAAGTTTCTCTAATAAGGACCCCTTCAGAGTCCTCTGGGCATCCTCCCCTAACAAATTTCCTCCTGTTGCAGGGCTGAAGCAGTATTCATGCCCTGTATCTCTCATGCTTTCTGCTCCAGCATATTCTGCTTTTGTTATACTGCTAAAGATATTGTATTTGTTTAAGGGCATTTGGAGAGTACATATGGCATCTGAAAGCCTTTAAAAAGGATGACTAGTGAAGTTTGGGGGTCTAAATGTTAATCACGTGGTCACCTGCAATTTGCTAGGGCCTGGACTTATATTTTTATGTTCTTGTGCTCCACGTCTCCATCTCCAAATCCAGTCTTAATCACAGCCATGTAAAATAGCTGATAGATCAGGAACTATGGCACCTAGGGTATAGAAAATGAACCCTCTGAACCTATTTTCTGCTCACTGGGAAGTTACAAGTTTAAAGTCCCAGACATATAATGTGAGATTACGGGAGTAAAATATATACAAGTGCTTACAAGTATGCAACTTTACCATTAAATTTTATGTACGAATTTGTAGATGGCACTGCCACAAAGTGCTGTGTGGCTTTTTTAATAGATACTCTATTAAAGTGATGCATTAAGAAAGCATGGCAACATATTTAACTCTGCCTACCGTTTACTTTCACCCGAGCAGTGGTTTTCAGTTCCCCAGTGCTGCAGGTATAGTCCCCAGAGTCTATCGCTTTGACATCTTGAATAATGAGCTCTGCCACAGTACCATGCTGCTTAAATTCATACTTCTCGCTGGCATAGAGAACAGTGTCTCCTTTCATCCATTTCACTGGGATATCAGGTTTGCTGAGCTCACAGGTCAGCTTGACTTGTTTTCCTTCTTTAGCTTCTTCATTTTGGAGCTCCTGCTTGAAAAGAACTGGTATTTCTGCAAGAAAAAAAAATATTGCAAATGTTTAAGGAAACACACAAGATTGGAAAACACTTTTCCTTTTTTTGTTTCAGGTTTTGTTATTGAGATAGAAAACCACAGGAATGGAAAAGCACTAGCAAACAGTAAACAGATTCTGACAACTCACATCTGGCTGCCGGCACACTACAACGGCAAAAAAAATGTATTTGAGACCATATGCTTATTTACCTTTTAATCCCTATCTGTACTACTGAAGACATTGCTGCTATTACTGTTGTCATTATTAACATTAGTGGCAGATGCTGCACTGCTATTAGTGACACAAACAATGTGCTGCAGTGTTGTAGACGGGCGGTCAGAGCTGGACCACTGGCACAAAAAGCGTAAGACTTTACTGAGGTCAACTCGGACGTAACACAGAGGGCACAGAGAAATGGCAAAGCACTTTCTGTTATGACCAGCAGTATTGATTTCTAGTTATAAAAAAAGCCCACGACATTATTTTTGTCCAACATGAATACAGACTTAAAAGCAGCACAGAGCAAACATGGAGAGGAAAACACAGCTGTATGTGAAAGGATCCCTGTGGAGATTCCTATGCAGGCTCTGTCACTGCCCGGGATTCAAGGCTTTAAGGTGAGCTAGTGTAGGAAAGGCACTTACTGGGAAAAAACCCTCAACTGAAGTGCTTTCCCCTCAGATCATGAAAAAAACCCCAATTTCTTCCCGACTTCTGCTAACTTAGCAATATGCAAGTCAGCTACAGATTTATGATGCAGCTACAGATATTATGTTGTCCTGTGGCTATTGGAAAACTACAGCCTATTCTTCCATCCCCCTTTTAGCTCTAGTTTGGGACACTAAACACTTTTTATAGCATGGGTAGTAGATGAGCCTGATCCTGACATGGCTCAGACCCAACACCTACCTAACATACTTGGTGTTCATCCAGCATGTTCAGGTAAGTACACTGAAGTCTGGTGTGTCAGAAGAGAACTTTAGCTTCAGCTCAGACAACAACCCTTTAGATAGCACCTCCGGCATTATCACACTCTTTGGGTGCATTATTCTCAATGAATTTGGCTGCCTAAAGTAATTACCCAGACAAATGTGGGAGTGAGAGCTCCATCCTTGGAGCGGGCCATCAGTGGAGACAGCTTCCGAAGGTCTCCTACAGAGATACCCACTGTCCTCGACCCACTGCTCTTTTCTGGAGAGTTTAGGCACTTAACTTTCACAAAGCTAAAACCAGGTGAGATGAAGGATTTTCCTGTTTCCCGTTGTGTCACCTCTCTGGGTGCTGATTTGATGAGAACCTCTCCTACACTGTGGTGCAAAGACATGAGGTTCCTTTCCATAATATTTTAATATTTTTATTATTTCAACTTATTACTATGACCTCAGTGTTAGATGACGAGTTAGGAACCAAACCATCACTCCAGATGTTCTTACCCTTGACAGTAATAACCGCACTACTTTTAGCTGCTCCAGCCTCACACTCATATCTGCCACTGTCTCTTTCTTCTGCCCTGTGAATGACAAGCTTGGCCTCAAATCCCGACCGGCTGATGTTATGCTTGGAAGAATTCCTAAGGCTCTTCCCATCTTTGCACCACTTTACAGGGCTGTCTGATTTGGAGGTTTCACAGTGAAGGATCACATCCTCTCCCTCAGTGACTTCAGTATCAACCAGCTCCTTTGTGAAGATGCAGGGCTTCTCTAGAATCACATAAAAACCATCTGAGATGTTTCAGAAGAATTGCGGATTTTCAGTTCACAAGTAATCTGTGAGATTTACATACAAGATTACTTGTATCAAAACTACAGGTCAAGGTTAGTAACAAATAATTTGGTGTTTACGACCATAAGGACCTCTGGAAGGCACCAGTCGTGCCATGAGGTGTTGTTTGGTAAATACCTAATGTCATCTGGGAGAAGCTGAGAAGACAGTATCCTTGTTGAAGAACATCAATAAGATCTCTCTCACATCTTGTTAAATAGGAACAAGATGGAGACATGATTTTTCTAAGCCCTTTTACCTGTGAGCTGATTCATTTAAACCTTCTAACTGAATGTGGAAAAGTTAATTCTGCATAGAGTCAGGTGCAATACAGGTTTCTCAAAGCCAGTCATGCAGAGCAGATCTTCTCTCATCATCATGAGCCCTCTAAAAACCACGGGGATAGCTCAGACTTGTCATGTAAAGTGTCTCTACAACCACTGGAAGGTGACAAACACCTCCAGAGACCAGATATTAACTCCCAAAATAGGCTGTTAGGACAGAAAAGATGAACTGCTCTCTGGAAGTGCTTATCTTTCTACACAGCTTATAGAAGTAGCCTAAACTAGATACCAACAGCTAAACTGGTCAAGGCAGATCTTATGCCCCCCTAGCTCATAAAAACCCAATCAATCAGGAGACCAAAACTCATTTTTGGTACTATAGCAACACATATTAGCATTACCAAGAGGAGTCAGCCTTTTGGGGAGAAAAAAAAAAAAAAAAAAAAAAAAAAAAGATCTTTCATTTGTCTTCACAAAAAATCTGTTTACATTTCTGTAGCATGGCAAAATTTGAGCAAATTTTCCAATTTAAAAAAAAAAAAAAGTTCTTTGCAAGAAACATGGTGATTCTGGTAAGAATAAGAACATGATCTGACACAGTAGAGACTCTGTGTTTTACATCTCTGGGTAACGAGAAATATTTATGTTTCCAGTAAGAAACACCTCTCTAATCCTGCACTCTTGAGCTCTCTGGATTCATTTTACTCTCTCACTACAGAAGTGGACTAACACTGCAGTTTTAACTCAGTTTAACTTTCCCAGAGAAAACGATTCTTTGTCAACAATGAATGGCAGAGTATACACTCTGTTGCTTTTCAAACAACGAAAACTAAATTTAAAACTTATTGGTTGTACTTTCCCCCGCCCCCTGCCTTGAATGTATTGATTTCCCCTCATTTATCATCACCCTATCAGCTTGGCTCAGGGAAATCTGGTCAAGGCATCCAATGCACCATCACTAACAATATAACATTCCCATCTAAGGTCCAACAACACACAGAGAATTGGCCAGGATTACAAAGCATTCATTCCTCAGCCCTAGTTTAACTATATAAGTAATGCTATTTTCTTGAACATACACAGATATACATATGACAGGGCCAAATTTGTAGCATTTTTGTTCTTTTCACCTACCCACATTAACCCATACTTATTTCTACTTATTCTTTCCTCTCCTGGAGTTTTTATGATTGAATTACCTTTAACAACCAAACTGGCAGATGTTTTCTTATCACCAGCTTCAAATGTAATGACCCCCGAGTCCTTCAGTGACAGTTTTTTCAATGTTAGCAAGTGATATCCACCAGGCTGAGACTGGATCTCATTAAGCTCATTGGTATGGAGTGGGGTTTTATCCAAAAACCACTGCACTTTGCTATAGTCTACAGGAGAGATTCTGCATTTGAACATGGCAGATTCTCCTTCTAACACAGTGACATCTTCCAGGTCTTCTGTTATTAGCACTTTCTGGCCTGAAAGGAACATAGATACATCAATTACTGAAATCTTCAGTCTCTAGCATGAAAATCGATATGGAAAATTCCAAGATTTCCCATGTGAATATTTCAAGAAAGAAAAATGTTTGTGATACAGAAGACTTAAACAGAATTCCCCTGTTATTGAACACAAAAACCATTCACAAGAATATAATATATACAGGACACACACCAAAATAGGATGAAGACAACTTCAAAACACCAGAACGCATATAGCGGAACAGGCAGCCAGTACAATGCAAATCCAGTGTTATAAAGTTTCTCCTAATGAAACTACTTGAAAAGGCTGGAAGGATGAGTCTTCGACAGCATCACTGGGCTCTAGACATCAATAAGCAGATGATCCCTCCCGTGACAACCCCTTCATTTTTCTAGGGCAAATATAACTTGCTTTCTATGGGAGAGGACCACCCAGCCCCCACCTTCTTTGAGCTTAAGTCCAACCATAAGCACAATGGGGAATGGAGACAACGTCTGACTGCAGCTTTAGGGAGAAAAGAACCAAAACAAGAGCCCTGAAAACCTGCCTGTATAGCATAGATAGATATGCACACAACTATAAATAAATAAATAAATGAAATAAGGTTATCGCTGTATACAAAAATATATCTGATGTTGCTCCTACTTACAAAACCAGTACAGGGAATTTTTACTTTATTTTGAGCTTTGTGACACAGGGAAGTATTTTGCCGCTCAGAAAAGTTGGTGATAGAAACCTTGCAGAGAATTCAGATAGCTCGGATCCCGAGGCCATGATGGGGATTAAGCACATTTCCCTGCTTCTCAAGGCTGCTCTAGTAGATGATCTGAGGTGGAGGAGTCTGGCTTTACCCCCTAGTCTTTAAAACTAACTGTAATAATTAATAAGTGGATACTGCCACTGCATCTACATGTGACTATTCTTGAATTGCCCCTCCTATTATTTTCACTGTTTCATCAATTTCAGCTCAAGGGATTCTCCCAGTTGCAGCTCCGATGAGGGAACTGCGAGGAACACCAGATCTCACTCCTTCCCCTTACACTTTGCCCTGCTCTTAGCATTGGCCATCACAGCTCATTTACTGCCTGTAGCTTCAAATAAAAGCTGCTGGATTGTCCTCTTCAGCTGGAGATTGGGTTGTGCCCTTCATCTTTAAGGTGCAGAGGGACATTAAGCACTTAGATATCCCTGGAATACTCATTCACCCATTCCCTCTGAGAAACCCCTACTGGAAAGAGGCAACAAGGGGCATGGAGAAAAGCCTGGAAGCAGAATAATTTCTCCCTCATCTAATAGCAGGCACTCTGAATCATATCCATATGTTCACACAGGAACACCAGCCTCCCCTCACATCAGCATCTTGGGTTTTAAATCATACCCAAAGCACTCCAGATGTAATTTGCTTCCAACTGACAAGTTGCTCTGCATGCCCAGCAAAACGTTTTTGTCCACACGTCCTGTGCAGAGTATATACATCACAAGCGAGACAGAGCTAGAGATCGGTGGATCTGTTACCCGTGTGATGAAAAACAGATCTGCCTGTGCATATAATGTTTCCTGTTAGAGGAACGGGATGCACAGTCATATTCCTCTCATGCATACCTTGGACAACTAGCTTGGCTCTGGACTGGGCATCACCAATGTCGCAGGTGTAAGTGTCACTGTCACTTTTCTCCAAGTTATTTATGGTCAGCTGGAGGACTTGTCCTTTCTGTGTGATCTCGTATTTCCTGCCAGTCCTGAGTTCAGCTATGCCTTTTCTCCAGACCACAGAGGATGCAGGTTTCTCACTCTGACACATAAAAACTGCCGTTTCAGTTTCATTGACTTTCAGATCTGAAAGTTCCTTGACAAAATAATTGGGTTTTTCTGCAAGGGAAGGGAAGGGAAGGGAAAAAAAAACAAAAAAGAGAAACACAAATCTATTACTCAAACAAGTCCTAGGTGGTCTTGAAGTCTCTCTGACCCCACATGTAGAATCACAGAATACAAAATCACAAAACTATCCATGTTTAAAAAGACCCTTAAGATCACCAAGTCCAACTGTAAACCTAACCCTACGAAGTCCATGACTAAACCACGTCCCTGAGTGCCACATCTATATATTTTTAAAATACCTCCAGACATGGTGACTCAACCACTTCCCTGGGCAGCCTGTTCCAATGCTTGACAACCCTTTCAGTGGAGAAGTTTTTCCTAATATCCAATCTAAACCTCCCCGGCACACCTTGAGGCCACTTTTTCTCATCCTATCAGATGGAATGGATCTGAGAAAATCACCAGGTCTGCCTACAGTCACAGGACAAATCAGGGAAAATATTTCCAGAAAAGTTTAATGATATTGTAGAGGTAGTGGTGAAGTCTCATCTTGCAGACTGCACACAGTTTTGGGTCACCCATATTCAAAAAAGATGAATTCAAATTGACAATTTTGATTATCTCATTATGTAGCACATAAGATTCTTCAGTACCTACAAGGTGTTTTTTCCAGAGGTCTTTTTAAAGATTTTAATCTATGACATTTTTTGAAAACTAAAAATTGATCCTGTTTGGAGAGACAGAAGAGAAGAACATGTCCCACAGGTCATAGATATCTGCGCCAACTTCTGTACATGCCAGCCCCTATGAATGCTTCAACTGACCTTGAACTGTGATCCTGGCTTTAGTTTTAGACACCTCTGTCTCACAGGTGTACTCCCCACTGTCCTTGACCGTGGAGTCATGGATGATCAGAAAAGCCCGTGTTCCCTCTTGGTGCAAGTCATATTTCTGGCTTTTTCGGATTGCTTTGCCATCCTTATACCACCTGATGGTCACATCAGGTTTTGACAATTCACAGCTCAGGCTGATGTCCTGCCCCACTGCTGATGTTTTATCCTCCAGCTGTTTTGTAACCTCAGTAGGTTTTTCTGATGAAGGAAAAAAATAAGGGAATCTTGAATAAATATAACGCTCACTGTATAGTTGGTGATTTTGCAATTCGAATATCCAGCAAGCTTTCAGACTCCCCAGCGAATTACTCATATTATGTTAGGGAAGGAGGGGTAAAGCAGTCCTGCCCTTTAGTACATACTAATTGTAGTTATGGGCTCTCAGTGAATATCAATGGTTGCTTACAGAAACTGAGTATTTGTTCTGATGGCATCCATTTCAGGGGATGTTATTTTGTCATCACTGAAGTTACTGTAGGCGTGCAGTTATGGTGGGATCTATCTCACTGAATACAGATATCTACACCACAGAGGTAAGTAGCAGAGGCACGTACTCCAGGGCTGCTCTACAGTCAGCAGTTATCTGCTAAGTACAGGCAATAGACTTCAAGGAAGAATTTGTTATGTCCTATATAGGTCAAACTGTGGATGACGGGCTATGTCTGAAAACTATCTATTTCTCCTCTCCACTGACTACCCGGGGAGCCTTGGGTGATTATCTCTGATGCACACAGTCTGGGTATTAATTGTCTGTACATTTACACTACCCAGTGTATTCTGCAATTCTCAAATATCTATAAAAGTTTCAGCCTTTCATGTGTTTTTAAGGAAAAATCTCAGTGCTTTAAGGCTCACAGAGAAGGCTGCCAGTCACATTGATCATAACAAGAGTTTGTCTTCATGGTTTACTGACATACCTTATGAAAACACCCAAGAAATCAAAACCCCAGAGCCTTTCTGATCTCGTTACCTTTCACAACAAGAGAAGCCTTGGAGGTTAAACCACGAGCAGTGAAAATTACTTCCCCAGAATCATCAGGAACCACACTTTTGATATTGAGCGTATATTTCCGACCCATGTTAGAGGCTTTAAATCGCCCACCACTTTCCACTTTGCTCCCGTTCAGTGTCCAGTTGAAATCGTCAATGCTTTCATGGGACAAAATACACTCAAAAGTGCAATCTTCTCCCTCTTGGATTTCAGTGTTCTTAAGCCGTTTGGTGATGCCAATGTTCAGTTCTGGAAGATAAAAATTAGGCTAATACAAGGAGAAAAGGCTTTTATAACTGTCATGAGTAGCAGCATTGACATTTTTAGTTCATCAGGCTGGTTTATCTACTGGATTGTCAGGACAGCAGTGCATTCCTTACAGATGTATTTTGACATGGGAAGGATTTCTCAGGCATTATCCACTCAGAATCACCACAAAGCTATGGAAAGGGGGACATATGAATCTCCTGGAAGGACTGTATGAAGAACAGCTCACTTGGTGGAGAAGAGACAAGATTTAATGAGCTAGAGGGGAGAAAAGCTGTCAGACAGGAAGCCTCTGGGATGTTGTGTGAGGCTTTTCTCCATGCTGATATGAGAAATGGGATGTTCCCATTTTCCCATATTTGTTAACTTGCCATCATCCTATCCCTTCTGGTGTTCAAATCAGACATATTCAAAATTTGTCTTATTATCAATATGAGTTTGAAAGCCATGAACACCCCTTTTTCCTTCAAGCAACCACAAAGATGAAAGGACAGGCTGAGCTGCTGGGTTCTTCAATACTCAATGGTGTCCTACTTTTGTGTTCCCATAACAGAATCCAAATTAATAACTGAAAAATATGAAACACAAGCAGCTTGAGTTTTTTTGTTAGTTTTTTGTTTTGTTTCATTTTTTTAATTTAGAAATTATTTGCTCTTCTGGGAGGATTTCTGCACCTCAAGGATGTTCAGGAAGGAAATCTTGCCACTACATTCTTGACATGTGATTTTCACTGAAACACCAGCTATACTTACTTCAAAGAGTAGCAGCGATTTTTCAGAGATCACCATGTTATGTAAGCCTCATGGAGGAGTAGTTGTCAAAGTGACCAAGCCCACCCATATTTGCAGTACCCCTTGACTGACCATTGTCTACAACACTTACCCTGAACGCTGACCTTTGACTTGGCAACATCAGTGCCAATATCACATGTGTATAAACCTGCATCTGTCTTTTCAAGGTCATGGATAAGGAGGCACAGGGTCTTTCCAGACTGTATCTGTTCATACTTGTTACCAGAAGTGAGCTTCACACCATCCTTTTTCCAAACGGGTTTGACCTTCTCTTTGGAGACTTCACATTCCAGTTTAATCATACCTCGCTCCTCACCAAAAACATCATCCAAGGACTTCATGAAGACAGCAGGCTTCTCTGAAAGTTAATGTGCAAAACAAAGAACAACCAGGATATTTAAGTCAAGCCATTTTCAGTTGCTACCAAATATTTAAAGGGTATTTAAGTAAATCACTGGCAATGCTGATGATACCAGTGCAGAACCTAAAGCGGTCTCACACCTGATGATTGGAATGAGTTTTAAGGAAATCGGAATTTATTAATGGGAGGATGAAGGAAAGGAGAGAGGCAAGCTGCATTGCCATGGATGGTAGACTAGATGTAAGGAAGTCCTTGTCTGCATCCTTTTCTGCATGGAGGAGCAGAAAATATTCTTTGGGAACGTCCTTTCTCATCGCAGCAATCTAAAGGTGGAAAGGAGTCAGCTGGTTAGAAGGAAAATGTGTAAAGACAAGTAATGGGGATGTAGGTCTTCTAAAGCCAGAGAGTCGTCACCTCCTTTTCATGAAGCAGTAGGAGCAGCAATACAAGCATATGCTGCACATTCTCCTCATTCTCCTGAACATTTTTGCTGTTGCCTCTTTGTTTTATTGATTCCTTTTATCTAATTTAAAATATATTTGACACTGAAAATATTTATACAGAGGAAATTTTTGACCAGCTATAAAAGAAAGAAGGAAGAGAAAATCCTTCACATTCTCTGAGTGCATAGAGTAAATGAGTCAAATTATTCAGATATACTGAGAAGAAAAAATTAGTTATGATCAGGAGGCAAAATGCAAAGGAAATCACTGAAGGTTCTCTAAGAGAATATGGAAGATGTCAGACTGACTTTCAGAGAGAATGGCTCAGAACATTTCCCGCTCATGCTTCCAGATACATAAAGGAGTTATTTTAGGATAACAAATCACCATCATTTACCTGAGCATACATGTATGGGTGTGTTGCTAAGGAAAATGTGATTTTGAAATTTTGGTGAGAGTTTTACCTCATGTTTCTAACATACCTAAAATATTTCACACAACTTACTGTGGCTTAGCTGATGGTCAAGAACATGTCAAAACACAGCAACTCAGATGTGTGACCATACTTTAAGGTGTATTAAGAACAGCAGCAAACTGCCTTCTCTGATGAATCAGTCCAACTCCAGAACTGATGTACTCAGAGGTGTGCCCTACCCTTGGAGGTACACTGAAGCTCAGCTTCTTGTAGACAAAAATCTTTATAAACAGCAGTTTATAGAGTATATGCTATTGAAGAGACATACAAGTAAGGGAAATTGCTCTTGAGACTATCCTGAAAAGAAGCAAAAAAGGATCTTAAATAGCTATGGAAAGTGTTCCTTAGAAAAACCATCAGCTACAGTAGAAACTTCCACTGGAAGAGAGCACACTTATTACTCAGTTCCAGAGAAGCGAAGCTTACGAGCAGGGTTGCTGTATGGGTATGGTAAATAAGAGCTCCTTTCCAACTCTTATTTAATATTCAGGAGGTGTGTGATCACAACCCACCTATCACCTTCAGACGCACGCTCTCTGACACTTTGTCTGACTTCATTGTCACTGTGCCAGCATCCTCAGGCTTGACGTGCTTCATCGTCAGCGTGTAACAGTTGTGGATATTTCTGATGTCGTTGAAATTGTTGGTGTAAAGGAGGGTGCCGTTGAGGAACCATTCCACATCCTCATCATCATGAGACAGCTCGCAGGAGAAGACAGCGGAACTCTCTTCCTCAATCTCCACATCTTGCAGGTGTTTGAGTACTTCTACATTGCGGGCTGTAGGAAACCAAGGTGCACCATCACCACTGGTATCATAAACCAGTATTGTTACCACAAATAGATTTCCTAATGTTCAGAGTTTATGAGATGGTTTATTCTGGTCATGGGTCATTAAATTTCATTGACTTGGTTCTGCATTTAGTCCAACAAAAAACCCCACCCATTAAAAAAGACTATATTGTCTGGAGCCTTCAATTCTCCCTTTACACATAAAACTGTTTGGGGTTTCTTTAAATTCAAAATAAGGAATTTTTTCTAAAATGGTAATGATATTACAGTGATGCCTAAGTATTCCACAGAGCTCCAATCCTTGTGTGCTTGTCACTGCACACACACACATACATACAGTTTATAACTAAATTGCCACTGCCACAGAAACATGGAGAATGAGGTGAAGACAACGGGTTTGGCCACAAACAGCAAGTACAAAGAGATTAAGCAACTTGCTCGGGTTTAGGAAGCAACAGGAATGGAATTGTTTTCTTTCCCAGTCCTTGGCCAGAGGTTTCACTTTGCAACGTCTCTACTCATGAAGTGCTGTTTCTCAAGGACTAGCTAACTCAGAGAAGGGTTTGGGAATCTTAAATCATGTTGTTATTTGGATGAACCTCTGCAAGGCCAAACTGTTACCAGGAGATGTTCCCTGGACTTCTGGAAATGGTTCAGGGGATAACCTCCAAGTCTTGCTGAAAGTTGCACAGTGGTCATCTTTTCTTACAGTTTCAACAGCAGTGAAAAACTAGCTATAAATAGTGCCATACCAGGACGAGATAGAATATCATTATGAATAACAAACGTATAGCGGATATAGAAGCTGACACAAAGGCCAGGAAAAGAAGACCACGATGAAGAACATCAGAATCAGAGGCCTGTAGCAGTTTAACATAAAGGACATTTTTAGCAAGAGGTACCATAGTTCCTTGGATGAAATAGAAAATAATGTGCCTTGAGAAAGATGTATGAATTTCTGCTTTACTCAGATGGTGCCTTTCTACATGCATTACCTACTTCATGGTAAGTGCTGGACTTCAGTATCATGGAGTATCAGCACAGTGCAGAGTTCAATTACAATACTGCATTTATATAAATGTAGCAGAAGAGAACTGTGGGAATCTACCTCTACTGAAGAAGAGAAAGCCAGAGTGAAACATAAGGATAGCATAGAATCATAGAATGGTTTGGGTTGGAAGTGATCTTTAAAGGTCATCTAGTCCAACCTCCCTGCAATGGGCAGAGACATCTTCCACTAGATCAGGATGCTCAAATCCCTGTCCAACCTGACCTTGGATGTTTCCAGGGATGGGGCATGTACCACCTCTCCGGGCAACTGCAACTCTGTACCAGTGTTTCACCACGCTCATCGTAAAAATTTCCTCCTTATATCCATTCAAGAGGCAAACCTCCCTGCTGAAAACTCTTTGTACCTTCAACGGTCAGCGTGGCTTCGGTCTCTGCATTTCCAGCCCTGCACTTGTACACACCAGCATCTTCGGGCTTCACCTTCAAAATTTTGAGCTCTGCTGAATGCTGTTCCCGCTTGATTTTGTACTTCTCAGAGGGCTCAATGGGTGTGTGGCCCTTGAACCACTTTACAACCTTTGGAGAAGGCCTGAAGTCGCAGGACAGGATCACTGAATGGCGCTCCAGAGCTGTCTTGTCCTCCATTTTCCTGGTGATCTGTATGTGGTAATCTGCAAAGCAGGGTTGAGAAATAAGAAAAGATCAGTCTGAAGAAGAAGAAAGTTTCCAATATGTATTTCATGCCAACTAGTTTCACGTCTGTCATTCACAACTCTTTTGTGAATTGCTCAGATGATGCTACAGGTTTCTGTTACAGACCTGATTTGCCTTAAAGCTAAAACATAATGATCTATGGGGAATGCCAGTTTCTACAAGAAAAGTATAATAATTAAGTATAATAACTACCAAATGCATGGTCCAGTTCTGGTTCAGTGCTTACTGAATTGCTCTCTAATTGAAGTTTTTATTCAAGAGCAAAACAAGGTCTTCAGGATGCGATTGGAGATATTTACTATGGTGACAGTGGAAGATAAAAAGCCTTGCAGCTTTGTCCCTGATTAAGTCAATGACAAAGTGGATTAAGTAAATGAGCTGTCAAACTTGTCTAGTTCAAAAGAGGGACAAAACAAACTCTTCTGGCAAATTTCATCTGTTCTGTCCTCTTTGGTAAAGTCAAGAAGAAAAAAAAAATAAACTAAAACCCAGCCTTAGCTCAAAAGATTTAAATATCAAGTTGAATAACAGGTACACCAAAGTCATTTAATCAGATCCCTTCCTAAGACACTGCTGTCTTAGTGCATCCAACAACTTGTAATTGGACACTAAGCAGATCTTCCAAGTACACGTACGTTTCCAAGAACCCAACCAGTGGAACCTGAACATTAGACAGTATGTATGAAAAATTACTTTCCAGGGACTGTGAGAGGATCTCTGGTGACCTAATTCAAGACAGGACTTCTCACATTACCTCTGACAAGCAGGTTTGCAGTGGATTTGGATTTGCCAATGGAGAACTGAATAGTGCCTGTCATATCAGCAGTCGTTTTGAGTATTTTCAGCCTGTGGATAGTGCCTTCCTGATGCATGATAATGTTTCTGCCAGCCTGTAAGACTTCTCCGCGTAGAGACCATTTGGGGGGTTTCACAGATGGAATGGATATCTCACATTCAAACTTGGCTTCTTCAGGCTCAGTCACATCCTCATCACACAATTCCTTTACAATATTAATGGATTGCTCTGGATGGAAAAAGAAAGCAGGGATTTAGGAGTCATGTAAGAACTACTCCATTATCAGCCTGCACACTCATGTTATCATTTCTGCATTTGAGTACTGCAGTTATTAGCTAAAAAGGCCTTAAATCACCTTTTTCTATACAAACCCAAACATATTTCTGGTCACAGGTCAGACAGTGAGACTGTGACACTGCCTCAAGAGAATCCAGACCATCTGACTCCCAGTTCTATTTCTAAAGCCACCTGCCTATCCTGATATGAAATACTTGGCACAATAGATTCACTGAAATGTAGATGCTGATTATAGAAAAAACTTTGACTAGTTACTGCAACTTTCCTCTGAACAACACATCTGATGACAAACTTCTCTGGAACAGGAATTTCATCACTTTCCTTAGTAGAATATACCATATATTCATTTTCCGGGATGTTCCTGACCTTATAATCCCCAAAAGATTATAATGGACTTCAGAATAAATCAATATTGAATTCAAATACTTTTATATTTAATACTAATATATTTAATACTATGTTTTCATAGTAAATGAATCACCCAGTCCTTCTAGTGCATCCTAGAGGGGAAAAAAACCCGATTTATTACCTTCAACAAAGAAATTAGCAGTGCTTTTGTCATCAAAGGCATCACAAGTGTACATGTCCTCATCTTCATAATCTGCATCGTTGATGATGAGTTTCCGATAGACACCATCACTCACAATTTCGTATTTGTCACTAGGGTGAATTTCAACATCCTTTTTATACCATTTAACCTCGGCACTGGCACGAGACACCTGGCACTCCAGGAATCCCCGATGTTTTTCAAGAGCAATCTTATCTCGCAAAGGCTTCACAATTTTTACAGGCAGCTCTAAAAGGATTTAAAAAAGATTGAATAATCAGTACAGTTTCCATGAAAGCTGCCAATTAAAAACTTCTTAGCACTATTTCTTTTATGTTGAGTTATTTGAATGATGACAGGAATCCCCGCTATGCTATCCCCACGCAACTAACACATAGCGGAGGAAGAGCTAATCAAAGGAAAATTTCTTATCCATATTTTACCACTTGAGTGGCTGAACTGTATAGATAATAGATAATTTACTCAACGCTACACAGCAGTGCTATGGCAAAGCCAGGGACTGATCTCAAATTTCCTGAGCTCCTCATCTGTGTGTTAATCCAAATGTCTTCCTTCTCTCAGTCTCTATCACACCGTTTAAGTTACGCAAAACATTAAGTTAAGTAAACACACATTTAAAAAAGTGCTGTATTCTTTTTAAACATACACCAGAAAGAGAAAATTAAGGAAAAAGTCAAGCTTTTTGTCCTTCGAAGTTCAAACATGATTTTTAATGTCTTAGGGTACAAAATCAACCTCCTGAGAAAAGAAACTGTGTTATTTAACAAAAGTAAATTCCCAGCACTGAGGCTGATATTTCACATGCAGTAAGATAGGCAGGAGCTTTTCTTTACCCTGAAAGCTCTAGGAGTTGTTTAACATTCTTCATGTTAAAAGTGAGGGAAGCTGGTTGGTTTGTAACATGAGCATGTAACATTAAGCAGTATTGGCATGAAAAGCATAATTACCTTTTACAGTAAGGTGGGCGCGAGATTCTGCCTTTTCTGCAACAAATTTGATCTCTGCTGCATCTTCAACTTGGACGCGTGTGTAAGTCAGTGAATAGGTCTTTCCTGAGAATAGACACACAACCAGACATAGCTTCCCCTGAGAAAAGAGCTTCACTCTCCCAGGCACATTGCCGGGACAAGCATCACTTGTGGTTTCAGTGCATCACCACCTGCTCTCATGGCAGCAAGGCCATCCATTCCCTATGTCTATGTCTTTGTATCAAAGGATAACCTAACCTCAGCTCCTCCAAGGACTGCGTGAATGTGGACCCCACCATCTGGAACATATGTCAGACAGAAGGATCCCACCCACTGTCAGGTGATACAAACTCCTACCCACTGCTGGCAGCATGGGATAGTAGAATGACACCGTCTGCCTTATTAAAAGTTCCCACCATGTCACTGTTCCAGCCTAGCTGCAACCCCAAAACAAATGGGGCACGTTCTTAACTGAACTTTCTTAACTCGATTTTGGAGGTCAGTCTAGTCGACAGCCTAGTCTTCCCTACCAGCACCTACTCCAAGCCACCCCCATTCCAGAATGAGATCCCCCTTTTACATCCTACCATCTTGACGCATTCGGATATTGTCAGTAGCCTTCAGCTTGTTGTCATTTTTGTACCAATGGGTTTGGACCTCATCATGTGAAATCTCACAGACAAAAGATGCACTCTCATATTCATTCACTTCCACATCTTCTAGTGGTTTAATAATCTTGATATCTCGGGCTGTGAAATCAGAGAGACAAATATTTATCTGGAGTTTCTCCATAAGCGAGTGTGTGGTGTGTTTATCTCCTGCATACTTGTATAGGAAAAAAAAAAAAGACTGTGTTTTATTCTAGATCAACTACCCTTCCTGGGTAGATTTTCTCTTCACCACAGTAAATACCTTCTATGTTTGAACCTATGGATAGAACTACCATCTACGGTGGAGATCACTGCAAGAGGATTTTATGGGTGCTGGAACTTTATACAGTTTTTGAAACAAATTAAACTTGTTCATGAAAGAAAATCTGTCAAGAAAAACTAAGCATCAACCTACAATCTCTTGTGTCATTGTAATCCTGTCTCATTGGCATACTCTCCTCTTAGTCCCCTTCTTGTGTGCCTGGAATCTATCAGCCACAGGGACCTCAGCCACATGTTTTATCTAGGAGATACCTTTGCTTCATAATCCTCTGAACTCAATATAACCCTGTCAGAGCTGATCCATATTCCCGTGCTACTGCAAATCTTTCCTTTTGAAAGGAAATCCACCTTGGATCAGCCTCAGGACCGGAGCTCAGATGCAAACCAGCCAGCACTCAAACAGCAACCCATCCCAATCACGAAGTCAGGGAGAAAAAGGAGAGTTCAACAGAGCAACACAACAGAACAGATGTTCACAAAAAACATTGCTGAACTCTTGTGACCACACAAGGACAGCATCTAGTAAGAAATAAGAAAGAGCAGATATGTCTTTTCAGATGCCCCTCTGGGAAAATGACATCTGCCAGGGCACAGCAGACCTGTCCGTTCAGTAACTGGCCTTCAGCACTAGCTTATCTCTGGTGCTTCAGAGCCTGGTGACAAAACACATCTGGCATTCAACTGGTTGTACAGTGCAGCAAACGGAGCGATAAACTATCTTGAGCATAAAGGAGAGGTGCAATCAGAAATCACGATCCTTTCCTTAGCATTTACAACCTAAAAAGTAGGGCACTTCTTGAGATCATATTCAAAGCTTGTCCAGTCCCAATTCAGGCAATGTCCCCCTGTGACAATGGCAGAAACTAAACCAAACCATGTCAGCACCAGCTGTTGAATCCCTGCTTTGTGCCAGGCTGTATGGCATTTGCTAACTTGAGAATCTAGAAACATCACTTGATTTCCAGAGACCAGAAATCACTTATGATAAATGGAAAACTTAGTTAGCACCTCTTCAAAAAATACTCCTTTAAGGATAAAGGACAGCTCTGCCAGCACCTTCTCACTAGGAAGAGGAAGTTATCCAGAATGAGTAATTGCAAATACACAAACTATCCACATAGCATTTCTTGCTGCGTAGTCAAAAATAACTGTGGTAGATGTAATTTCCTACTCCAATTAAACATACCATGAACATTTAGTGTAGCTGATGTCTTGTCTTCAGCTGTTTCACATGTATAAGTTCCCTTGTCTTCATATTCACACTTGTGAATAATGAGGCTTCTCTTATTTCCCTGGGAAATAATCCCCACTTTTTTACTTTGCTGGAGCTCCTTCCCATCCTAGAAGAGAAAAAGGCCAAACTAGATCACCATGAACTCTTCTATGTCTGCAGTGAGCAAAACAAACATTCAGATCTGTGCTTAATTCGCCTGTCTCATTAGACTTAATGGAACTGTATTTACTGGGAGATGTGCTGAAATTTAAGCTCAGTGCAAAGTTTTCAAGAAGTGGGGATAGCCGAAGAACGTATATAACTTCTGGTTGACCTTAGCTATTTGAAGGCTTAAGGCACTGTACAGACTTGGCAATAAGAACTGAAGAAATGCTGTTTAAGGGAAGTATCCGCTAAGCCCCAAGGAAGGCACATGAAACGCCTGAGCTGATCCCCAGAATGAATGTCAGGTGCAAAGGGAATTGAGGCTTCACCTTAAATCACAGTTCCCAGTGAGGCTATAGATCCTGGGTGAGAACTGTGAGGCGTGAAGTAAAGCACAAGACCACATTGCTATCAACAGCAGTACTCACACTCTGTGCAAGAACAGAAAAACTTAACTTTCAACCCAATAAACACACCCAGTAAACAAACAGAAGTAAGTGATGAACTGGGCAAGTAAATGAACATAGGGACGGGAGAGCAATGCAAAGGCTCAGATTCACATCACCTCAAGTGAAATTAAACGCTCCTAGTTCCCTTCCAGAGAAGTCAGAAATTGAAATACCACTATCCATTAAGTGCTGTACCTTGAACCACTTAACATCTACGTTGGGCCTGGAAAGCTCACACTCGAATGTGACCTTGTCCTTCTGAGTTACACTGATGTCTACCAGAGGTTTGCTGAAAAAAAAAAAAAAAAAGATTTAAAAAAAAAAAAAAAAGATAAAAAGTCTATTTAGTAGGGAATTAAGTCTCCAGAACCATCTGGCACAAGTAATAGTGAATAGTCAGAGCCTAGCTTCCATGCTTAATAACACTTGTGACAACAAAATTATATTGTTTTGAGCAGATTATCATGAGTTGTTCTGTGGAGAATGATGTTACAATAATCCTGTTGACATTAGAAGGATACATTACTGATGGTGGTCTAGGGTTTAACATCCTTCACAGTTAGAAGGAAAGTTTGTTCCTCTCTCAAAAGCTTTGATCTCCGGGTCAGGGGAAGAAAACCGCGTCCCACCCTTGAGACTTCTGGGTCTGTGTACCTGTCACAGTGAGCCTCCCTGACGAATGAATGCCATCTGCTTTGAAGGAGATGAGTCCTGTATCTTCAAGAGTCACTGAAGAAAAAGTCAGTGAATGTTTCTTCCCCAGGACACCAATACTGATGTTTGGTGAAGGTTTCAGCCGAACACCATCCTTCTGCCAGATGCCTTCCACATCCTCATGCGATACCTCCACCTCAAAGGTGACGGTCCCTTTCTCGGAGACTTGGAGGGACTGAAGACCTTTCACCAGCTTGATCTGCCTCACTGGAAAAACAAGGACAAGTTGGAGGTCTCACACTGACAGCTGTGATATATTCCAGAATAGATTATTTCCCTATTCCTCATGCAAGTACCCGTCAATTAATTGGTACCTGCCAATTAAAGAACCACAGGAAATAAAACCTGTTCATGACCATAACACTAGCATGACTGCTACTCTTAAAATGGATGCTTTCATCTGGGAAAAACAAGACAGCCAAACATCGCAGAAAAAGGGCAAACAGGCTCTTTTTCTAGCAAGATCCACCACACTCACTGTCTATGCCAGAAATAAGCTTTGAAGTTACACACCCACACGAGTAGAGGCATGTACTGGGTGAGGTGGTCACCAATAACCATCAGGAAGAAGTTAACACTGCTGTTATTTAGGGTCCCTGGGCTGTACAGCAAGAGACATGTTGCTGAAAATACTTATTCCTCAGCAGAGATTCAAGAAGCGATCAATAAATATTAATAGAGTATAAAGGAATAAACAATATTGTTCAGCTTTTCAACTAGGATAAAACAAAGGAGGGAGGGAAGTAGCAGGGAGAGGAGAAAGCCTTTAGTAAAAGAAAAAAAAAAAATCCAATACATGATGCGAAACGTGCTGACACCTTACAGCCTGGGGGATCTGTGTTGTGGGTGGATATTACCTATTCCCACTACATCAGCCAGTAAAAAGGATTTAGTGTTTAAACTTGTCTCACCCTTAGGAAAAATTAAGTTGCCAACTAAAAGACTACAACAACAACAATCTCTGCAGAGCCATGAATTACTCACAAAAACCTTCGATACCCTATGGGTCCCCTGGGAATATTTCAACCTCCCTAGTGCATGTTTAGCAGAGATAATCCACATTCAGACAGGATCCGAATGCAAACCTGCCCAGGAGCAGTATGAGGGCTCTGTTCAGTGGGCATGGTCTGGACCCAGCTCCTGGGCCGAGGACACCACAGCCTCTCTGAAGTTCAAACATATCCTGATGGCATCCGCCCCTATGTCACGTGGGGGATAACAGGGAACAAACTATTTCTCCAGAGGTCCCACAGAGGTGATATTAAGCAGACTATGACTTTACTGAGCAACTGTGTAGAAGTACGGTACTGTTCTCCCCAGGAGACTCCATGTAATGCCAGCTCCTTACACCTTCCCTGTCCCCTCTGTTGCTCTTACACCTCACAGCAGGTTTACAGAGGAAGAGACATATCCTTTGCAGAATCCTGTCTAATTCTTCTCTCAAGGAAACCACGCTGATTCCTCTCTCACAATCTTCTCCAAGGTCACAACCACTTAAACACAAATTTTCCCCAAGAACATGTCTTGAACCAGACAAATGAGGGAAGTACAGACACTTCCAGGAGCTTCACAAACTAAGACACCAGCTCTCCTGGCTTTGCTCACTAGAAGTTGTGTCGTTCCCTGCTTTCTGAACTGGTTTTGCAGCTGGTCCCTATCCCCCCGGGCACCTTTCTCTAAATTGAACACCGTGTACCTGCTACTGTCTAACCTTTTCCCTAAACTCATAGATACTCCAGCCCCACACACAGTAAATGGACTGAGGTTCAAACTGAAATTATGTCGAGGAGATAGTGAACAGGATTTGCAAAAAGATTAACTAAATAGCATAGCCTTTTCTAATTCAGTAAGTGGCCTCCTGGATATATCTTCACCCGGTGTGTACACAGGACTGGGG